TTTGGAGCATTACTGGATGAATGACGTGTTGAATTGTATGGGAAGAAGAGACAAACCTGAAAGATCATTTAAGTTTTTTGTTCCCCATGCATTTGTAATTTGAAAAGTTAGCTTACCTTTTGTGACTGAAATGCCTCCAGCCTTTTTGCTCCATTCCCTGGAACTCCATCTTGGAGTCCTTTCTATCCCACCCCTCATGAAGACCTTGTAAGAAGAGCCTCAGTTGATTAGCTCTTCTCATTGACTGTGTACTCAGAGTTTATGCTCAGTTAATATTCATCCACATTTATGGTTAATTCATTCACATTTCTTTTCATTACTATCAATCTTCCTTGTACAGTTACAGTTCAGGCAATGGTAGACCACTGACTATTTAGCCTGGCCATCAGAGTTCTCAAAAGATTCCTGAATCATTTCTAGGAACTTCTCTGGTTCCTTTATAATTTATAACTTTTTATATTACCTTCTTAACATGTGGAGTCCTGTAGCTCAATGGTTAGAGCACTCGCCTCACAAGCAAGAGCCCTGGGCTCGATTCCTGGCAGGGCGAAATGTTGGACAAGTTTCCTTACTCCACATGCCTCTGTTTGCCTAAGCAGTAAGTAGAAACCCAGTTGTTAGTCGTTTTTCCGGGGATAATAATTCCTTTAAAAAAAATAATAATAATTTGGTCACTCAATCCATGACTGTTTGTGGGGCACTGCTGTGCGCAATTGGCTGCCGTGTTTTGCCCACAAAATATGCAGCCAATTCACTTTACAGTACATTCTGTGAAGAGCTTTAAGATGTCTTGAAGACGTAATAAGGTGCTACATCAAATACAAGGAATATTATTATAATTCTTCTTCCACCACCTTTGTTGGTATTTGTTCCACGTACATTAACTCATCATAACATTTTCTGATGAATCCATTATTGGAAGTGCCCTTTATAACAAAAAATAATGTGAATAGCAGGAGAGCTGGGACTAATCCTGGTCACTGCTCTCCATTTATCATCTGCTTTCTGTTACCAAGCATATAACTTATTTATTCTGTGTTTACGCTGTCATGAACAGTGCCGCTTCTCTCCAACAGAATAGTAATGTGGAGGGGTACATCACTTTGAATCTCAGTGTAAATAAAATGCCTACAATTTAGCACACACCTATCGGATCCTGATCTTCTTCAAAGAGCAAATTTCTATTACCAGTCTCAGCAAAGTGGAAATTGGTGCAGTCCATGGAGCATGTATGGAATTCAGGCTAACATTATCTCCACAACTTATCACTCAGTTACGTATTCAGTACCATCTGATTCCTATGAGAAAACCAGTTTTCGATCCAACTGGCTAATTTGCCATTAACTTCAACCTGCCTTTAAAATCTCAAATGCCTCCTGGAAATCCAAGTTAATCTTATCCACTAGAAAGCCCTCATGCACCACTTTAGTTCTTCTTCAAAGCAATCTGATAGATTGGTGAGGCATGACTTATTGATTCTAATTATAATGACTAGTTATAATGACTGCTCATTACAGTGTCTTGAGTGCATATATGAGCATTGATAGCATCCTATATAATGGTCCCGAGCATTTTCCCCACTGCAGATCTTCAGCCAACTTAAGCTGTATCTTTATAAAAGTAACAGAAACATGAGAAACAGGGCACTATTTGAATGCTAGTTTAATGGGAGGCAAAGCAGGGAGATGGTAACAGTAAAACCGAGATTGAACAGCTCATCAATAATGTTGCTGGCAGAACCAGGACATTCAGACATTGGAGTAGGTTTTTGTGTTCTATTTAAGGAGGAGAACCTCCTGTTTCTGAAAAGCAGTAACATAGGAAAGTAGCTACTTGCTGAAAGTCAGAACACAGGTGTTAAAACTGTTTCGACAAAGTCAGCACATTTGCAAATAGACTTGCTGAATTTGCAAAGCATTCAAGAGCTGGAGGTGACCTCATCCAATTTGCAATGTTAAATCTAAACGTAGAGCCAAATCTTTACTGATTTCTATTAACTGCTTAACGTATCCCATTCAAATTGTTGGGGCAAATGTTTCAGCTCATAGAGTTAAGGATTGTTCATTCTGGGTAACAAGTATTTTTGTATCCTCTGTATTCCTTAGTGAATTGCAGAGTTAAACTCAACTTTGCCTTGCAGGATGAAAGTGCCCGCAATTTGACAAACACTGGTAATCTTGCTCATAAGAGTGGCCGGGATATAAAAAATTATAGTTTGACGGGGAGTGGGGGGGTGGGCTTGAGGTGATGCTATCTGAAATATTATCCTCTTTTCTCTTTCAGTTCAGATTGACTTACTTGACTTGCTGTGTATTGTTGTGTTGTATTTTATACCACTATTGGGTGGTTGGAGTGGGTGAAGGGAATCTTCCTTCGTACCCACGCCACCTAGCTCCCGTACCCTATTCAATTTAGGAGTGACAAGACCACGGAGTAGCAATTCCCACTACATTCCTGAACATCACTAAATATCTTAAAATGCTTCATTGCTGCTTGGATTCAGTAAACAATAAATCTGGCCTTATGCCAAAGTTAACGCTGTTCTTGTTCATGTGTAGTGTTTCCAGTTTTGGCCTCTTTTTATTTGTGACTGTTGTCTAACAGATTCCTTGCTTACATATATATCAGATTAAAATAATACACCCATTATTTTCCATCAAATATGCTAAACATTCTTATAAACATTCATCGATCTAGAGGGTCAGATGTAACTAAATGGGACTTTCTTCTAAATCTTTGAAATATTTACTGCTGGAGACTGGTTTAAACTGTACTTAATTCTGCCCTGCCATCCCAAAATAATCTGAAAAGATTTAGATGATTGCTTGGTAGATGAGTTAGTAGATGGTTTCCCCACAGCATCTGAGTTGAGATTGGTTGGAATAATAATAATAATAATCCTTGCATTTGATATAGCGCTTTTCACGTTTTCTAGTCGTCTCAAAGCGCTTCACAGAATATGCAGTAAAGTGAATTGACTAATATTTGTGGGCGAAACGCGGCAGCCAATTGTGCACAACAGTGTCCCACAAACAGTCGTGGATTGAAAATGACCAATTTATTATTGTTTTGTTTTTTGGAGGCGTGTGGAGTAAGGAAACCTGGCCAAGATTTCGCCCTGCCTGGAATTGAATCCAGAAATAAAACATTAAGAGAAGTAGCAGCCAAAAATGTAGAACTTTGACCTGGTTCGATTTCAATCCTAGTCAGTTGTTGACTGAAAATTTAAGTTTATTAGGGTTCACCTACAAAATACACAGTCACTAAACATCACAGCAAATCCTATAATTGTAGAAGTCCTGTAGCTCATTGGTTAGAGCACTCGCCTGGCAAGTGGGAGACCTGGGGTCAATTCCCAGCAGGGCAAAACCTTGGGCAAGTTTCCTTACTCCATACGCCTGATAATAATCCGTCAAGAAAAAAAAACAATAATAAATTGGTCACTTCAATCCACGACTGTTTGTGGGACACTTCTGTGCGGAATTGGCTGCTGCATTTTGCCCACAAATATACAGTCAATTCACTTTACAGTATATTCTGTGAAGCTTTGAGACATCTAGAAGATGTGAAAAGAGCTATATCAAATACAAGGATTATTATATTATAATAACAAATTACTTTTATATAGCATGTTTTGCATTGAAAGGGGCTTAGAGATAGCCTCCTGAAATCAATGGCAGTGTATCAAACGCAAGGATTATTATTGTTATTATTACATTGATGTATTTGTTATTCAGGTAGTACCTCAGTGCATTAAATCTTATTTATAAAGTTTTCTAAAAAATATGTGAAAGTGATGCTGAAAGAGCACGAGGTTAATGTAATGCTTTGCTGCCACTTGATGGTCCCTGGTTCGATGGCTCTCTACCCTCTGAATTTTGCATGAGTATCAGTGTTGCAATCGTACTGAGATATGGGAATGGCAATGAGTGAAGTGAAAACCAAACAAAGAAAGTTGAAACTTAATTTCATACCTAGCAAACTGGAGATAGTGATGCAATCTGACCTTGGAGTGTTCCTTCATGTTCAGGCTGGATTGAAGATATGTGATCACACCCCAAATGCTATTTCCATGTTCTTGTTATCCCAAGTAACAATGATGGAAAAATTACTGGCAGATTTGCCTCTTTGTTGCAGTGGGGTTTATTATTTATCCCAGATTTTTGTGTGCGTGTGCATTCAATGCAGCTTCTCAGAAGTCTGGTTCCATTTTCTAACAATGTTATCATTGTTGTTTTGGAAATGCTTTGTAACTTCAATGATTCCTGTAAACAAAAATATTCCAGACTTATCACATCGGTGTAAAGGCTGAATTCACGTCTAGTGTAATTATTTCCTCTCACATCTGGTGTGTGTGTTGCACTGGTGTAGACATTCATGTGTTTTAATATTGTCTAAATATAGAGCAGCGAATGGTGTACACCATACTAAAAAAATACAACTGTATATGTATCTGACGTATGATCTGCAGTTTGTGGTTAAAATGATTTCCATTTTTGATAAGAATCATGTAGTTACAAATGAAAGGTGTATGAAGCAAACTATATTACGTGCTTTTTGCTTTCAAAAATATACAGTCACTACACTTTACAGTAAAACCCTAGGAAGCACGATGAGACAACCTCCCAACGTAAAAGTGCAATATCAAATTAAAGATTATTATTATTACTATTATTAAATGAAAGTCATTGAAATGTTATTGCAATGAAAATAATCTGCCATTTGGTGGTTTTGCAAGTTCGAGGCTATTTTAGCCATGGTGATTCTACAGTAATAAATCTTAAGGAGTGCAATAATTTTCAGTGTCAATTCAATAAATTCCCTGTAACACAGAATTACCAGTTTCCTCTTCGTATTTAATTAGTATTTAGTTGCCATTAGCACAGTGCGCTTACTCGTCTTGAGAGGTATTTCACTCCAATTGATGCCTCGCAACCCCACTCCCCATTAAAGAGATCCCAATGTTCACCAATTTAAATGAAAGATGTTTTCTTTTCCAGAGCAAGGAGATTGGATTCCAGCTGCATGAGGATTTAATGAAAGTTCTTAACGAATTATATACGGTAAGCACATTCTTGTAATAGATGTTTTGAAAGGCAAATACAGCATTCAAACATTTAAATCTCTTTTTGGCAATTCCGCAGTTCTTCTGTTAAATGACCAGGACAGTATTATGTTCTGTTTTAGGGGGGAATAAGGAAGTGGCATCTGAATTTGCATGTTGAGCTCTACTCCCCACTGATGATCATTAATATTGCTGCACAGTGAGTAGTTTAAAAGCTAGACTCTCTCAGTTGTTCTTAGTTCGAGAAGGGTGCACAACATGTCTGTATGAACAAAAATCATTAACAATAATAAAGTGCGCATTGGTTATTTATGATTAGGCTATTCTTACAGATATCAATATTTATGGCATCCAGTGTGTGTATGTGTGTGCGTGTGTGACTGCAGGCTTTTCTTGAGAGAGTGATGCCTGATGAAGTCAAGTTACGATTTTGATCTCATGGCATTGTTGTGGAATTCTTCCATTGACCATGCAATTCACCCTGACACAAGTCAGTAAATAAATCAAAGGCCACTTTCATTGTGCAAGTCACCCAATCGTTCAGGCTAAACTACAACCCACATGTGTACGAAGTGATCAATTCTGAAACCGATCCCGTGCTAATTTTACCCTTATTCATCTGGGTGTTCACCTTTACATTCAAATTTATAAATAAACAAACTCTACCTCCTTAAACTGTGATTTAAAAAGATAGGAACAGACAGTAGTTTCGGCATAAAGAACATGTCCTTTGTTAGTAACAAACTAGCTAGCACTGATTGTGTTCCATTAACTAGTTTGATTTATTGGACTTGTCACAGTTTTAGCTGAATTAAAATTCAAAAGTAAAATTGAGTTGGAATGACACTCAGTGAGATCCCAATCTTTCCTATTGCCATTAATCCACTTGTCTTCCAGCCAAGATTTGTTTTTACCAGTTGCAGTATTTCAGTATTAGGGGGAAAAACTATTTAATCCATTTGTACGTATAAATTACACTTGATTATGGTATATTGTTCAGATGTTTTAATTGCTAAAGAAATTCGCCCTCACAGACATGCTGTGAGAGTTTGAGGAAGGTATTTTTAAACTTGCTGGAGGAAATTGAATTTAATTAACATTTATTTTATTATCATTGTGAACATAATGAATATGCCCTTAGAGACCTGGTTAAAGATTGTTGTCTAATCTAGTTTACGTGATATTCACCCTGCTGGAATATTATCTCACCTGCTGCGGTTTTGTAAAGTTAGGATTTCTGAGGTTTGAGTTCTCACTGAAGATGTGGGTTCTCCAAACCTTCACTCTCCAACAAGAACATTGGTTGCCCATTGGTAATAATCATTAGCTGCAATTCATTCTTTATCACTGTTAAAGTTCTTTGATGTCAATGCCTGTGAATCTGACCAGGAATCACAACTTCAAAGTCACAACCTTGGAACCCTGGTTAGTGGGATAGGAAGCTTATTCCTTTTTATTAGTTTTAAAAAAACTTCTATTTAATTGTTGATGACTATATGCAGTGAGGGCAGTATTGGGGGTAGATCCAAATAAATACATTACATGTTTCTGAGTTTTAACCACATGTTAAACCTCAGTGTTTTCCATGCCCTTCTTCACCTGAACGTGTGCTGCCATATGGTTCCATGAGGCGCAGCTTTCTTCACATGTGAGGCTGGACTACTAACATTTGGCATTGGATTGTGAGGGATCTGCAAGCATACACAAATGTCGCACAGTGATCAGGAGTGTCAACTCTGATGAATTACTTTTCGCTTCCTATATCTGAGAATTTGAAGCAATCCCACACTAGCTCTGATCAAAGCTAGGACCTATTCCCCAGATGGCCTAATGGGTAAAGGTACCATCCAGTGACTAAACCACATAGACTGAACCGTACAGAGCAGAAGATGGTAAGTTTGATAATCAGCAAGTCTAAGTTAGTGGATCTCGACCAGGGCGCTGCAAAAAGGCCCTTAGCACAAGAGATGGTAGTTTGCTCAATTCAGCACAGTGGAACCACAAGGGGTTACTGGTAGGTTCTTTGTAACTTGGCGTGACGGAATTTATTTTTGGATGGTTGCACCATTTGGAAATCATGAAAGATAGATTTAAATGTACTGGAAATAAATTGAGACTAGTTGAATTGAGTTTACATACCATATACGCCTGAATAGAAGGATCTAAATATTCATATTCTGTGAAGCACTTTGGGACGTCTAGAAGACGTGAAAAGCGCTATATCAAATGCAAGGATTATTATTAAATAGTCGGTCTCATTGAAATATGTCATTAAAGCAGTAAAAAGTATTGACTATCTCCATCACTAAACTTCTTCAGAACCAGATTTGACATGAACTATTGATGCATTTGCCTGTCAACGTAGTTGAATAAGTTTGATGTTTGATTTTTACAAGACGAAAATTGGATTTAATGGAAATTTCCATGTCTTAACTAATGATAGTTCAAGAGCAAAACTGAGTACATTCTTAAGCTTTTGCTGCTTCAGCAACAAAAGCTAGGTATTACTAGTGAACTGAAGCACACCCATAATTTATCATTTGGTGACAAGCAATGTCGGGTTTGGTATTTTATGGCGGAAATGTAGTGATACAGAATTCTTAATCCACGAAAACCCCTTCGGATGGAGGAGAGGAGAGAAAGAGAGAGAGAGGAATGCAGCTTAGTAAATATTGTATTTTTTAAAAAAATGAAATAATTAGTTCCTGAATGGAATATTTTGAAAGTGCAGGACCTGGAGGGTTCAAATACATTTCGTTCTCACTAATTCTCCGTCGTTTTTGACCTTGGCTTTTTTTTAATATAATTGTTTTTCATTCCGTCAGCAACGTTTAATGTCGAGGGTGAAACCCCAGGTGCTGCTCTGTCACAAAATGTCAAATGTAATACATTCACAAATTCTAAAAATGGGTTCTCCAAAAAAAGTAAGTTGGCTCTGAGCTAAAGATAGTCTGTGTGCACCAAGGGAGGTAGAGTCAAGCCCATTTAAAATCAACAGATTTATTAAAACATAGTAAAGTTACACACAATATACAGTGCAATCTATTGCCTATTCTCAAATGTATAAGCCCTGTACTGAGCTATTTAATGGAACACAGTGAGAGTATATTTATAGTGAGAGGTGCCTTTCTGATATAATGCACGAGGAGGGGAATTCTGGATGTGGGAACTCCACGTGAGAAGTACTTAGTGGACTGGGGCTCCTACTACAAGACTTGTGATACTTGACAGCCCATTGCATGCATGGTTAAATGTTAAATGATGGTTTCTCACAACTGGGATTCATAATGCATTTGTGATGCCGGAAATAAGGAATGGAACCGTGTCACAGTTACCAGGATAGTTTGGTTAGAAGAATATTTACTGGAAGCAGGTGTCAAGTTTCTCTCCCCCCTCCGCCCCCACCCCACACACACTCCACACAAACACTCTTTCTCTCTCTCACAGGTCAGACCATCTTTTATTGGTTACTGTACTCCAGTAGCTGCCTACACTGAGGAAAAGTCTGTCTCCATTTTCTCCCTGCATAGCACAAACCGAGTACAACAACAACAATTTGCATTTATTTAGCGCCCTTCGAGTGGGATAGTTTCTGGGATATCTCTTCTGCTGGAAGGGATATGGGATAACTACTGAAAAGCCAACTCAAACCCAATTCCACAATGGGAAATCACATTGACTGGGTATATGTGTTGGTGCCCTAGGAAGAAAATTAGGCATTTTGATGCGCAGGGAAGTGCAGTGAATTCAATTGAAGTGAATTAATTGGATAACACTTTAATATTTGGTAGTGAACTAGTGGGTGAGAAAAGCTCTACAGGTTTCTTATTACAGTTTTCTTTTAATAATAATATGCTTGAAAACCTCAAGGGATCAATGAAAATCAAATGACACTTTAAAGTAATTAATTTTAAAAGATCTGTCAGATTCACACTGTATTTACAACTGTTTCTGTAAAAAAGCACATTAATACATCAGTATATAGACCAAAAACCTAGGTATGAGTAATGAAGGTTATTTCCCAGCACATGTGTAACTTGTGTGACATTTACTGATTAAAATACAAATCCATCAGTTGTTCATCTATCCAGCGCACTGTAGGTGCTATAAATAATTGCCCGCTAAGAACTTTGAGCAGTATGCAGTATCTCATTTCCGTGAAATATTTTAATTAACTTTTTTTTGCAATGCGGCTTTCATATAAAACTCTGTGTACGCTCGCGTTTCTTGTACCCCAAACGTTATGGGAAATCATTCATCCACTTACTAGAATTCAACACTCGTGATTCAAGTGTTGCGTTCAGATGGTTAATGACATTCCATCATTCAAAATCTTCCTTTCTCTTAGGGGAGTGGGAGGAAATGTAGCTTAATTCACAGGGTGATGGCTGAGGTGGGAGGGAAATATATACCCGCCTCTCAAGATGGATTTTACAAGATCACAAGAAGGTTTGTATGGAGAAGGTCCTTCAGCCCATTTGATGTCATCCTTCCAGAACATCCACCCTACAATCTCCCATCACAGCATCAAGCTGTTTTTAAATGAGGCCAATGTCAATTAAACTTCTGACATATGACGAAATTCAATTTAATTCTTAAACACTTATAACATGAGAATATTTGTTGAACTCGGACTGTGAATTTTACAGTATGTATATGTTGTGGTATCATTGGTGTCACTGGACCAACAAATTCTTCTGTTCCTCGGCACAGGCTGTAAACCAGCTATTTGAATGATTTCAGTTAATGGTTTGTCTCCTCTGATGCATTTATTTGTACTTACTCTGTATAAATATTTATAAATAGCAATATTTAGTCATGGCTATGTTGATGTGACTTTTGTCTAAGCCCTGACTATTGGAAAAGAATAGTTTCAGACAATACCGCATTGCAGATTTCTTTTAAAATGCATGATGCTTTATTTTGCACTTCACATCTGTGGATAATGAGCTTGTTACAGTACATAAAAGGCTCATTGCAACTTTTTATCTATTCAATTGCTTCATTGCAAATCCATTCACATTCTGTGTGATTAAATTCCTCTAAAAAGGCACATCGGTTGGGGAATAGTAATTTAACTGCACATTTTAACTGCACAAGCCTAACCCTGCAATTTAGAGGGGGGACGGCCTGAGCTTTTTAACGAAAATTGAACAATCTGCAAATTGCTGAATACATTGAATAAACTAATTAATGGATTCCAAGTTCTGTTTTAATCACTGGGAAGAAATTACAATGGTCTTTATTGCACAATTGTTTTGGTTTGCAAGAGAGACCTGTGGTGGTTCCTACCTTGCTTGGTTCTCTTTTTTCACTTTTAACTTTGAAGTTCATTTCTGTAGTCATTTTAAAAAATGGCTTCAAAGTTGGACTGTATTTAATTGAATTTGAAAATCCTGTCTGCTTTGAAATGCTAGGTTAATAGCATAAATCCACACCCAGGTGAAATTTTTACCCAACTGTGTTTTGGCTTCCTAACTTATGTACTTGCCCTCACTACAGGTCATGAAGACATACCACATGTATCATGCGGAGAGTATCAGTGCAGAGAGCAAACTGAAAGAAGCTGAGAAACAGGAAGAGAAACAAATCGGAAAAGACCCAGTTTTCAATATTCGATTAGAGGAAAAACACCAGAGGCGTAGCTCAGTGAAAAAGATTGAGAAAATGAAGGAGAAGGTAAGAAACCTTTCATCTGCTTATGTGCACAGATGAGGCTCAGTGCACCTCAGGCCTTTATGTGTAACTGGGAGCAAAATCAATTCAAAATATTTGCAATTCAACAATGTGGATGTTGGATATTTCAGTGTTTTACACTGTTGGCCCTTTGAGTGAGGATGCCATTCCAGTATAGATCAATGGTTTTAAATGCGTTATTTTGCATTATAAATTATTTTATTTTGTGGCAGTCTGGATCGTCTGGTTCCTGAGCGAGGTGGGTCCGAATTATTCCAGATCAGCAAGCCTGGCTCATTGGTACGACTGATAGGGGCAGACTTGTTACTGGGAACATGATTGTTTCCACTCAGGTCCTGTTAACCTACAAAGCCAAAGCCCTAACTGGAAGTATGATGCAAACAGGTGCACGGAAGCTTGCCAGATAGTGCTCTCAATGACAAATATACTCTGAGGTCTGCAAGCCTTAGCTCCTGTCTTTCCTATTACTTTCCAAAATTAAGTAAGCAGAATATGTCTCTCCGGGGAGAGAGTATGCACTCCATTCCAAACACAGGAATATTTCCATGGGTATAAGTGTCATTGTACGTGTAGATATTCTTAAGCACGGTGATGGGTTTCTACAAGTGTCAGATAACTGGTTGACACAAACAGAAAGCACAGTGTGTGATGTATAGGATGATCAAACAGTCATGATACCATTACAATGTTTAATAAGTCTTAAAGAAATGATGATATATTTGGATTTTTGTTTAGATAATAGGTAGCTTCATGACTTTTTTTGTCATCCTGTACAAGTTGAAGTCAACATAGGCCAAGATTTTTTTGTATGTATTTCCCTTGTGTCTTAATTGTTTATTATGACTCGATAAATGTTAAACTTTATTTGATTTGGAACAGCGACAAGCCAAGTACTCCGAAAATAAACTGAAGTCCATCAAGGCACGAAATGAATACCTGTTGACACTGGAGGCGAGCAATAATTCCGTTTTCAAGTATTACGTTCATGACCTTTCCGATATAATTGATGTAAGTACGTCCAATAGATAATCCATATCAGAAAACTGAGGTCAGTCCAAATTTAATGTGCATGTTGCCAAATAATCTAGCACCTGATCACTGTTCAAATAATAATCCTTGCATTTGATATACAACAACAGCTTGCACTTACATAGCGCCCTCCACTTAGGGTAACGTCTCATATAGTACCTTATTTTTGAGACGTCGCAAAGCGCTTCACATAATATACTGTCAAATGAATTGACTGTATATTTTGTGGGTGAATCACAAAAACACCCTGAAATCCATGAACCGTATAAGTAAATCTAAAGTCTTTGGTAATTTGTTCGTCACTTAATTAATGATACTGTAGCCAGGCAGGTGTGGTTACAAGCTAGTTTGAGTTTGTTGTACGTGATCTGATTCTAATATAGCAATAATGAATAAGATGATTTAAGCACAAGTTTATCATTTAATCAAATTGAGGTCCTTTATTCTTGCATGAAATGCATTGGGACATTATGATGACTGTTTGAATGTGTTTTCACACGTTCGTTCAGTTAACGACACCTCTAGTACAACTATGAGACTTGAACATAAATTTAAATGTCAAAACCCAAATGCAGTCACCCAGCCGTTACTAATTGTATTATTCTGCTTTTCTTATTTAAATCTCGGCTGCGTTATAACTTATGATACTTCCTTTCAATTTAAAAAATAATGGAAGAGGACTGGCCAATTTCAACCTGAAATATGTGAGCTTTGAGATGTCCTCCTGACATGAAATCAAATACTAGGATTATTATTTATTAGAATTGTAGGATTTCAAATAAAAGTGTTGAATGTTTCCCTTCTCTTCAATAACTTGACATTGACATTCTATTCATCTTCATTGAGCAAATGTGGCTTATTTAGTTAATAATCCCATGCATTTTAATACCAAAGATTTTGAATTCATGTTGTTCATAAGGATTTGGCGATGGAAACAAATTTTGGCCGTTTCCATGCTTTGCACTGTCTGTGTGTAAGATGGTCTGCAGTTTGTGGGAGTGCATTTTAAATGCAGTAATGGATCAGGTTGTGCAGTCAGAACACTGATGAATATTTTAACAGACTTTTGCATAATAGTAACAGGAAGCTTATGCAGCTGTAGCTCAGAGTGTGAGCTGAAGCTTTTCAAATATCTGAATGTTAAATATCCGATTCAACCTTAGAGAAGCATTTATAGAAGCTACGGTCAAGAGTTTAATCAGAACTTGACCGTTGTACCACTTTGGCTTAAACATTACGACCTTTGAACCTGTTAGTCTTTCTCACTTAGACATGTTGATACTCAGCTCTATTGGCAGTGACTGTGTTCCGTGGTTACCTCAGACAGTGATTGTCTTTGGGCCTGAAAGTCAATGGAATTGAGTCTAATGATGTCATTGCTTGGATCATTAGATAAAATGGTATTGACAGGTTCTTGATTTCTGTCTCTGATGTGTTGGCCTTAGAACCCTGGACTAGAGAGTATGTTGATATTCCTGATTTGATCCCAGTGAAACTACTGGAGGTGAATGGACAACAACATTTTAAGGGATGACTTTCGATTCTCAATAGGGTTAGTTAATGTGTGTATAGCTGAGAATCGAAGTGCTTCGCACAAGGTCTGTAAATATACTGGCCAGTGCTTCCTAAGTGTGTGCAGCAATCAGGCTTGACTGTGATGGTTGCCACGTGGTCAAAGTGCGTAGAGCTGCTAGCTTGTATGGGACTCAATACTTTTGGGGGAAGGAAAGAAATTTGAGAAGGAAAGGAAGAAGAGAAGCTCTGTATGAATAAGCTAATGAGTTAACTATCAATCTACAACATTGGAAAAGGCTAGGGATCAGGTTATCTTCTTGACAGAGGGAGATGGTGTGAAAGGATCACAGAAAGGAAATCGGAGAAAACAACAAAAACTGAAGAGTTAATCCTCTTGCACTGTTAGAATATTTGCATTCAAAGTTTTGTTGCTGTTGTGCAAGTTTTCAACTGTATGCATGACCTTTACTTTCCATTCAGGTTTTTGGCATGTGAGTATTTGGCGTCCGTGCTAATGTTTATACAAGCATGGTTGAAGATTAAAATGCTAAAATCTTCATGAAGAAAATAATTAGATTTGTTTTGCTAAAAATCATCAAAAAAATTGCATGCAAAATAATCTTTACCATTACAGACAATTTATTAATGGGTTAGAGTGCTCGCCTCGCAAGCGAGAGACCTGGGTTCAACCTGGGGTTCGCTGGCAGGGCGAAACGTTGGGCAAGTTTCCTTACTACACACACCTCAGTTTTTTTGGCAGTAAGTAGGAACCCAGTTGTTAGTCGATTGGCGGATCACTTTTCCGGAGGCAATAATTCCTTCCCAAAAAATAATAAATTGCTCACTCAATCCACGTCTGTTTGTGGGATACTGCTGCGTGCAATTGGTTGCCACGTTTCACCCACAAAATATACAGTCAATTCACTTTATACCTTATCACATCATTGAGACATCTCAAAGTGCTTCACAGAAGTGGTTTGAGACGTCTCGACGACATGATAAGGCGCTATATCAAATACAAGGATTATTATTATTACAATGCAATTGGACTCGGTCTTGAACAAAATTGAGATAATTATAGTAATCCTTGCATTTGGTATAGCGCCTTTCACGTCAGGAGGACATCTCAACGAGCTTCACAGAATCCATTGTAATATGCAGTGACTGTGCATTTTGTAGCCAAACACGATAGCCAATTTGTACACAAGTTGTCATCTATAACAACGCAGTGCTCCCCCCAGAGCTATGTTAATCTATCAGTCTAGATTATGTGAGTTCAAAGTTCTGACATGGGTTCCAAACTTGTAATCGTCTGACTCCGGGGCGAGAACCCTACTGGCAACACAGGTTGACAGTAAATCAAGCTTCTGAAAATTTGTCCCTCCAAAGGGAAAGGACTCAATAATGAGTTATCAGGAGTGGTCAGTTAGGCATAAGTTAAATACATAAATAAATGCTGCCGGGATGTTGGCAGCTTGATGACTTACGAGATAGTGACAAGTTAAACCACTGTCGAATTATCAGGAGTTTACTGTAAAAATAATCCTCACATGTGATCTAGAGCACTTCACATTGGGACGATGTCTCAGAGTCTTTCACAAGATATCCTATGAAATAAAAAGCGACTGTGTTTTGTAGGTGAAATGCTGGTGATTTAAAGCCGCCTTTAGTATCATTTTTGGTTTTAACCTGTATTTTCATCTTGATACTCCATGTCTTTTTTACTGTTTGACTTTGTAACATTCAGTGACATGATGGTTCTTAACTGTAAGACAATTGGTAGAAATCAAATTCATTAAATGTATTTAAAGAAAAACATTGGGTGAATTGCCTAATGTTTAATAAAGTTGGTATAAAAGCAACTAATAGGATCACTGTGCAGTTAGTTTTTTTTAAGGAGTGTTATTAAAACTAAAAATGGATGTGAAGTTTATTGATGTGTGTTTTCTCCTTTTTTTTGTTTATATTAGTGTTGTGATCTTGGATATCACGCTAGCCTAAACAGAGCCTTGAGAACATTTCTGTCTGCAGAATACAACCTGGAGACTTCCAGACATGAAGGCCTAGATATCATAGAAAATGCTGTTGATAACTTGGATCCTCGAAATGACAAGCAGCGATTTATGGAGATGTATAACACAGCTTTCTGCCCACCAATTAAATTTGAATTTCAGTCTCACATGGGTGATGAGGTCAGTGTTACTTAATAACCTTTTTACATGGGATTCTGTCACTGAAATGCCTGTGAAACTGATATATTTCAACAAACGTATTGTTTTGGGCAAAATTGGATGGTTGTATGGACTAGGACACAATCAGTCTGTGATTCCTAACCAAATACTCTGGGATGTTTGACCTCAGACTCCCGGGGGTGGAAAGATATTCAGTCAGTTTCTCGATATCAGATACAGAAGGTTGGTTATTTCTACTACAAGTCCATCGCTGGTTAATCCATCACAGCAACATGTTAATAGAAGTGATTTAAAATAAAACAGAGCAAAGACCAAGGTCGTGTCTGAGCTTAACTGTCTTTAGATTTTCACTTTGTTCAGTTGACTTGTCAAACCAGATACCTGAAATTTCGACATGCCTTCAAGACGACATGAACAATTTTGCAGAATTGTGGAAAATTCTTAAATTCACTCTTAATTTGGAGGGATTGTTTTTAAGAACTGTGAAAAACAACTCGCAAGTTGAGGCTGAATTAAAAAAAAATTCTGTGTCTTCATAAATATTTATGTTTCATCTTTTTTTTCCCAAGTTTAAATAAAAAATGGACATATAGTCATACAGCCAAGAGTGGTCCCATGGTTTATAGTGTCTCATACCAATAAACCAACTTAACTAATGATTCATCAGGATGAATGATCACAATGATTGATTAATGTGCTCCGGATTCTACAGTACATGCAAAAAAAACTGAGCATTTGGCTTTTAAGGTAAGGGATAAAGCAGACACTTAGCGGGTTTAACACTGCATTACTCAAGATGTATAAGAGTTGGCAAGTCTACATCCCAGAATGTATGCTGACTCCACTGTAGTCAATCCCATTCAAAAACGACATTGATGAAATATACTATCTAAAACTCAATGCAAACCTTTCTTGGGAAATAAAATTCTTATATCGGAATAGAAAGTGTTCATTAATTTGCCTGAACAACAGCAACTCGCATTTATGTAGCACCCCTCGCGCAGGGTAGCATTCCAGAGCCCTTGACGGAGTGGGGAGGTGAAGAGCTGTAGATAAGCAGAGATTCTTACTACAGTTGGAACCTATTGTATCCTTTGGTCAGATTATAATGTGGCTGTACCTGGACCTGCAGGTGTACTGGAAGTGCAGTACAAAAGACCTCCTGGTTTCCTGCAACCACTGGAACGACTAGTGAGACCACTTGCCGGTTTGCTGTGCGAACAGAGTACAATTCAGTGGCATCAGTGTGAAAACCTTTGGTGATCTGATGTCTAGGAAGTGCTCACCAGCATCCACTCTAAAATGGCCCATTATAACACGGTCTGATTTGTATGGACCAAAACAACTGCCTTATAACTGGGTTACAACAATAGCTTCATCTATTCACTGCTCTGTTGATATGGTATGGTGGGATATGAGCTTAATGGTGGATTTTGGTTCTCCCATTAGGTGTGTCAGGTTAGTGCTCAGCAGCCAGTGCAGGCTGAACTGATGTTGAGGTATCAGCAGTTACAGTCCAGACTGACTACCCTGAAGATTGAAAATGAGGAGGTGAGTTGAAGCAATTTCATCAGGTGAACTTTCACCATGATTCCAGGCAATTTACTTTTCTATAAATGAATAAACAAATTTAAAAAAAACATTTTTTTGCAGAAAATCCACCGTCAAAAAAGCACAGCTGCTTCTTAGGACTTACAATAATAATCAGTAGTTTCTAGCAAGTTTTACACACCCAATTTTTCTATCAAAAAACACATCAGGCAAGGGTGGCCCTTGACCCATTATATGCTCAGCAACTTTGACCTGTATTCTCATTTATGCTTGCAGATATGCAGTTCATTGGTAGGGTGACATTCCATTAAATTATTTCTTTGCACTTTTATTTTCCAGATGTATTTTTGTTAGATTTATTACAAAATGTACAGAGGGGATTCTGAGAACATTGTTGTCCTAAAATTTTAAGGAAACATCTGTGTTTGGGCTATTTGGCCTTCCTCAACTTTTGTTGTCAGCAGGGTTGAAGCATGCTTTGCCTTTTCTTCTCAACTTTCTAAAACTGGTTTCAATTCTCAATTTTGCATATCAAGATGCATTTATCACCATATTCCTTTCATGAATATAAAAGCTGGAGAATGGCTTCAGGGTTGAGAGACGTCATGATAAGCAATTCCATCTGTTTCCTGACATAAAATGCATCTCATTATTATTTGGCATTCATATTTGCTTAGTGCTTGATGGCTCAGTTTGCAATACCGCACCTTTGGACAAAAGCTTTGCAGGTTCAAGCTCTATCTGAGAGAACTGAGCTCATTCCACAACGCTGACATGTCTCATTGTTGATAGTTGGGGTAATATCCTTTGAGTGAAATGTTAAATCAAACTCAATCATATATTGTACAAATATAGATTTTTATCCCTGTTCCTCCAAAGTTCATGTTCTTTCCTTCCCTTTGGCTCAAATATCACTAAGATATCCAATCTCATTGGTTTAGATATTATCAAACAAAATACATTTCATAGTTCTGTTGAGTAACTGTTAGAACCTAAGAGCGTTCAGATTCCCTCCCCTGCCTCCAGTTATAAAAAACTAGGAATAAATGGATCATAATTTATCTATATCACAACCTGGAATAAGTAATGGGTTTTTAGTTGGATCATTATTCAGAAGGCTTTCATAATTTTCCAGTAGTTAATGTAATAACAAGCCTTCCACATAGCTGAAAATTCCAAACTGCTTTTTTTTTTAAGTGAAGCTTGAAAGGATGTGCTTATTCAGTTGTGTGTGTGTGTGTTTGCTTGCTTGTGAGGAATTTCTGAAATCAATGTCTATAATGGTTTCAAACTATGAAAAAAATTACATTTGAAACATATTTTCAGTAACACAAAATAAACATGTGATGTGGAATCTCTCAAGTATCCATAACAACTCCACATAGTTTTTCTCTGAAGAAGTTAAGGTCCTTGGCTGAATTTTCACTAGTCTGAATCTTGCACCCGTGTTAAACTAGGCAGAATTACCTTCATTTCCTTGGAGTCTGCCAATTTAGCAGATTATTAAGGGTTGATCCAATTTAATTAGGACTTCACTAGATCATGCAGAATTAAGACATACTCTAGAGTTAAGTTTTAATCCCGCTGTTTTTATTACTACTTTATCATGGCATGCTTGGCAACGTAGATCAGAATTGAGTCAATCCTCTGTGGCAGTAATAATAAGATTTCTGAGCGAGGAAGATCCACAGTGCTCCACGACACTGCTAATGACAGCCCAGCCAGCCTGCCTCGAGTGCAGGATTTAGAGGGGCAGACTGGGTCAGGGATTTTTTGCTCAATAAAAACAACTTTAATTTAAATAGCGCCCTTCACTCCGGGTGGCATCTCAGAGTGCTTTACAGTTGAAGCCTATGTTTGCTGGGCTCTCCATTCTGTTTTTGCTGAAATCATTTTGTATCTCCTTCATCTTCACCAGAGGTTTCACTTAATCCCATAGATTCTTTCAGTATCATCTTCCCAATTTGGGATTAGCTTCTTCTTTATCGGGGCCCGATACCGTTGCACCTTGTCTGCCAACAGGTCCAGCGCTCCTAAAAATTGTATATTCTGCAAAGTTTATGACCAGATTACTAAGGGAGCCATATTTGTATGTCTATGGGGACAAGGTTTCATTTAATTTTGAGAATACTTTACGGTGACGAGTGGTGCAATGGTATGGTTGCGTCTCATTTGTTTCGCCATTGCGCATTTTTGTATTGTCAGTGGATTTGGCAGAGAGATGTTTGAGTGGATTTTTAACAGAAAAGCAAACAAGAAATGAATGTCTTTCTAGCTAGATACCTGGAAGAATCCGCCTCCCCTTCTTCCATGTTTTTATTTGCTGTTAGTCATTTCTAACGTATATCATGTGTTTTTGTGTGCGCGGGTTTTATTCCTACGTTTTCTGCAGTGCATTGTGCTCCAGCTGCTGGCAAGGGCAAGTAATCATTGCCAGTGCTGTGGTGCAACCGACCATTTGCATTTGAGTTGGAGCAGCCTAGGGGACCTGATTGTGTGAGACTGACTGATTTTTGGCATCTCACAAGAGAGGCTGCACGCGAGAACAAGGAGCTGCAGTAATATCGGAGCAAGAGACTAAATGGAACTCGCACAGACTGGTCTCGCCTCGCACTCCTGAGATTCTAGTTCATTTAAACCTTTTACTGTCTAAAATTGAACAATTAGACTGCACTCCAAACTCTTAAAATAATAATGCTAATCCTTGCATTTGATATAGTGCTTTATATCTTTTGTATCTCTCAAAGCATTTCGCAGTGCATTGCTGTAAAGTGAAGTGATTGTATATCTGTAGATGCACGTGGAAGGCAATTTGCACACAGCAATGTACTGCTAGGAGTGTCAACCTAGAACTCTGAGCCTTAAGTCCTGACACAATAAGGGATGAATTTAGTTTTTACTGAGCTTGTCAATAGTATTAACAGCTGTTTGATAAATGCACAACCAGCCATTAGCATCTGAGCTGGAGCAGCCCGAGGGAACTGATTGTGTGCTATTGACTGATTTTTGGCATCTCACAAGAGCGGCTGCATGTGAGAACAAGGAGCTTCAGCAGTATGGAAGATAGAAGAGTGTAAAGGAACCAACAAAGTCGATGTTTCTTTAATATTAATTTCCTTTGAAAAAGTATGAATAGAGTGCTTTGTTTTTGTACCGTTAAGGTGTAATGCTGCTTTGTTTTCCAGGTTAAAAAGACCATGGAAGCCACACTCCAGACGATACAAGACATGGTAACCATTGAAGACTATGACGTTTCAGAGTGTTTCCAGCACAGCCGATCAACAGAGTCTGTAAAATCCACGGTTTCCGAAACGTACCTGAGTAAGCCTAGTATTGCTAAAAGAAGAGCCAATCAGCAAGAGACGGAACAGTTCTATTTCATGGTATTTATTCCGTCTTTCACCCAGTTGTAGAACCGCAATTGTAGAAAAGGTTTGTTTTGCAGCGAAAGAAAAATTCACTCATCTCCCTTTTTTGAACAGAAATTTAAAGAATACCTTGAGGGCAGCAACCTCATCATGAAGTTACAAGCAAAGCACGACTTACTGCACCGGACCCTTGGAGAAGGTAAATCATAGAATGCTAAAGCATCGACAGGACATAGGAACAGGAGTAGGCCATCCAGCCCTTAAGTCTGTTCCACCATTCTGTAACATCATGGCTGATCTGTACCTCAACTCCAGTAACTCACCCTTGTCGCGTATCCATTGAAACCCTTACCTAACAAATATCTATCCACCTCAGTCTTGAAAATTTGAACAGACCTTTCAGTCTGCCCTGCTGTTCTTTTCCATCCAGCCTTACCACACTCTCCTACTCATTCCTCATACCCATTAATATTTTTATTATTCAAGTATCCTATTTATCGCTCTCTTCAAACAAAGATTCAAGTCCAGATCTCACTTGCCTTTTTTTCCCCCCCTCTTTCAGCTCAGGTCATTCACATTTGTTTCAAACTTACAGGTTTTTTGCTAAATTGTATTGCTGAAACTGGAACGTTCAGAAGTATTGGAAGTGAATGTGTTGCTTTATACAATAGCAATTCTTAAAACTCTGTGAAAAATGTATTATTCACCATCTGGTACATTTAATGTGTTTATACAGGACTGACCCTTGTTTTTTGCAATTTATTTGGATAGGTCAATGAGCAAAGACTGCTCAATTAAAAATATACAGTAACCATTTACTTCTTCACATGTTTCTATCTAAAACTTTGATATGATTTGTGCAAAATCATTTGAGTGTTATTCTTAGCTTGAATGGCATTCCTATTACATGGCACATCATTAAAAGAAAATATGATCGAGCCCGAATGTTTATGCGGTGTGCAGGAAGGAAGAGCAAGCTGTTCAGTCCGTCCCTTTAGGAGTCTAACTTTTCTGCTGAAGTTTCCTGTCCCATCACCAAAACTCCACAATAACAATCTGTTTCCTTTTTCTCTTGTGTGTCCCTTAGGTCAGAAAAGCAACTTCATGACCACCAGGTAGGGTAGCTTCAGGGTCATTTATGTAAATGCTTATGTAAATGTTTTGTGTCTTTTCTGCAGCTCAGTAGAAATATGAAACAAATGCCCAATTATACTACACATTTGGCAATGGAGCAAAAATGCCAAATACTGTATCTAGTATAACTTTGCTGATTTTGCAGAACATAACTGCAATATAGATGTGACTTTATCTTTCTAAAGTTCAATTAAAACCATTGGTGGACCAAGTCTACACTAAAGTCCCTCATACACGTGTAGCTCCAATTTTATGTGTTTTTTTTGCTTTAATGAACTGCTAAATGTCATCAAAAATAACATTAATTTTGTTGGCAATGGTGCCTTTTTTGCAAATCTATCAGTGACCAATTAATAATAATAATCATTACATTTCAGTTCGGGAGGATGTCTCAAAATGCTTCACAGCATTTTACTATGAAGTGTAGTGACTGTATATTTTATAGGTGAATAAGGCAGCCAATTTGCACAAAGCAATGTCCCATGAACGGCCATGAAGTGAATAACCAATTTTATTTGGGGGATTGTTGACCAGGAGAAAATGCCCTTTCCTTTTCGAATAGTGCAATGGGATCTTTAACATCCACCTGAACAGGCAGACAGGAACTCGATTCAATGTCTCATCTGTTGGACAGCATCTCAGACAATGCAACACATCCTGGTTGTTGCTGATGTCACTTCCAATGTGTTTTGCACAAAAACATGCTGTCAAAGTCACTTCCTTCCAAAGGTTATATATCAACAGTGCGTCCTGCACATCGCACAATGCACAGCATGCAGAAAGTGACATCAGTGACAAACAGCATGATAACAGGTCACTCGACCCAACCAGGCCATCCTGGAGTACACACTCCACATAAGTCTCCAGCCATTTTTTGGCAGAGGAAACAAATTTGTGTTAGTTTATAAAGCTTCTCTTTTCACGATGAGCAAATAAATGCCTGAGGTAAATAGTTTGGTTTTACTTGTTATCGTCAATAACTGATGCTCTGCAAAATCTACCTTCAACAGCAGAGATGGACTTATTTGTCAGACTCTAGAGGTGACTGATATGTTGAAGTCAGTCTTCTGGACATAAAAAATCAATGTATTCTTCTGATGTTGGTCTACTCCAGGTTAGACACAACTTGCTGCTGTTTTTGTCAGCAGCATGAAATGCTGCCACGCAATGCCACGCAGTGTGTCGATTCAAAACGTCTAAGCGGAAAACAAATGACGGTTTTACGCAGCACTTTTGCATTTAGGACTTTTTCGGATTATCCTTGTCTGAATCTATGTCCCCCTGTGTGCACAAATACAAGCATAGGATTAACTACAGTGCTGAACCCGTGTTGCTAAAACGTGTTGGATAAGCTGCTATTGAGTTTGCTCATTGAGTTTAAGCACAAATGACCCAGACTTTTGTATTCTCAGTAACAATCAGGGTCAATTTGATAAGATGTCGATCCTTATTTAGTTACCTTTGACTGCACAATGTTGCATTCCCTAATATGCAAAACTGAAGCAGCTTAACCTAGTTTTCTTGAATTTGGCTCAAAGCAATGAAACTAATCATACCCTTTCTCAAAGATCAATAGATAACTTTTATCTGAGACAACGGCCTCTAAACATTTATCTTTAAGAGCTCAAAACAAACCCAACATCTGAAAAAATGTGGTCACTGTCTTTGAAATTTCTCAATGATTAATTACAATCAAGACTGAAATTTACCAAGAGTGTGGATTTAAATACTTAACTATGTGCTCTCTATGTTTAACATTACATCTACTCATTTTAAAATGCTTTCCGCAGACCCTATATGCAATAGCAACAAATATGTGCAGATTCCCAATTATCTCACTATTTTAAATAATAACTAATAAAAAATATTTAAAAAACTTATTTTCCTTAGTAAATGCTCTCCCATTATTTCCCCCCCAACCTTCCCTCCACAGCCCTCTTCTGAAGTAATTTGACTTTTTTTTCTCTCCTCCTACTTTGCTGAAGCATCAGAGATCAATCAGCACCTGTGGATACAATTCCACGAGTGCCGATTGATCTCTGATGCTTCAGCAAAGTAGTATCATCCCTGTGTGAACCTTGGCAGGGAGTGTTGGCAGGATATTCTAACCGCAGAGACTTCACAGTCAATTCCTTACCTGGTATTTACAGACTCCACCTTCAATAGTGGAGTTCTGTAGCTCAGTGGTTAGAGCACTCACCTCGCAAGTGAGAGACCTGGGTTCGATTCTCGGGAGGGGCGAAACCTTGGGCAAGTTTCCTTACTCCACACGCCTGATAATAGTCCCTCAAGAAAAAAAATCAATAATATATTGGTCACTTCAATCCATGACTGTTTATGTGACACTGCTGTGCTCAATTAGCTGCCGCGTGTTGCCCACAAATATACAATCAATTCCCTTTTTCAGTATATTCTGTGAAGTGCTTTGAGACATCTTGAAGATGTGATAAGGCGCTATATCAAATGCAAGGATTATTATTATTATTAATAGAGGTTCCTGGATAGTGATCAGGAACAGGGTAACTGACTGATTTTCACCTTCCCAGTGCAGCATTGAAGTCTGTTCCACTGCCCCCTACTGATTCCATGACTAGATCAACTATTCAGAATAGATTTGGAATTTAGCCTGTGACTGTCTCTTCTCAATAATAATAATTCTACATAATAACAATAAGCCTTGCATTTGATATATTTCTTTTCATGTCTCAAAAGAGCTTCACAGAATACTATAAAGTGAATTGACTATATTTGTGGGGCAAATGCTTAATTCTGCACCTACAATGACCTACTGTTATTGTAATTTATACTGATGTGATACAGCTAAACTTACTATTATAGGACCATATTTTGTCACTACCCCCTTGCATGTTTATCACGGACATCCAGAGAAAATGAAATTTAGCTACCGCACAAAAAGTAGGGTGTCAATACGATCTAATGTAAATCCTTTTTTTAATTGGCTTATATTAACTACTGATAATTGTAAATTAATTGGTTACCAGAAATAACACACATATGTGTCTAAAATAGGTTGCTAACAGAACTGTACCAATGTCATTCTGTATTTTGACCTACAGTTGTGTTTCTCAAATCATTGCAACTTTACTGTGTGTATCCGTTTGGTATCACTTCCAGTGTTACATTCCAGTTTGAATGCCACATTTGTATCACGGGAAATGTTAGTAGTTAATTTCCTCCCAAGGACCTCGTTTTACGTATACTTTGTTTCTAAATTTTGTTCCATCCTCCCAGGCCTCCAAATGTACCCCCTAAACCTCAGAAAGCCAGGAAGTCTAGACCCCGCTCAGAATATAATGCTAAGTTGTTTAATGGGGATTTGGAAACCTTCGTCAAGGTACTGACACAAAATGTCCTGGTGGCTGAGACCCTTTTCCCTTACCAATCTGAATATAATGGTGTCTTCCTCAAGTCAAACACTTTTATTTAAAAAAATGCTCATCATTTGGATATAATCTCTCTAGGTAAAACAAACTTGAGGCACGCCATTATGTTTCATTCTATCTTGGGGTCCCGGTTCTGTATATCCTTATGTATAAAGTTGTTTCCTCAAGTCAAAATGTGTACAGTGCTACCATTTGGAGAGACAACCCCAGAAAAATGATAAGGATGGGAAATTTTCATTCAATCTTGATCACTGTAACCTGCTTTCTTTTAACAGTGATGTGTAGAGCTTTACAGTAGTTTTTGATGCCAATTTACCATAAAATCTTTAAATTATTCTGCGAAATTCAGTGAATGGATGCCAAACACATGAACCCCATTCATTCACTGTTTCATTTAATATCGGCATTTTTAAACTTGAGGAACTCCATTATATTCAAACCTGTTCTGTTTGCTAGATGGCTTGTTTCTCTTTAGTCTGAATATAATGGTCTGCTCCTCAAGCCACAGTTAGTCATAAGCACCGTAATAAATATTGTTCAGCAAAGGATATCTTCAACGAACTGAGGTAAATTGTACCTTGAGGAATCCCATTATATTCAAATCTCTCATAGGGTCCTAGTTGCATAGCTTGTATCTCTACTGTGTTTGCTTACTATCTATCTCACTATTTTATTTTCGTCCTCCAATCTAACATTGCTTCTAGCAGAGGACGAAGAAATTCTCACGCAAGAAACCAGGTATAGTGCTAGTGTGAGGCAACCAGGCTTTGCTTCACATAGTTACCACATATGTGCCTGGGTTAATCTTAAAACACATTGCTACTCTCATTTTGAATGCATCTTAAGCAAGCTTTAAAAGCAAGAATGTTTGCATCAGTGCAGTGACTGTTTATGTTACTACAAAGTATCACATACCTGAATTAACAACTGTATTTTTGACTGGCGGAATGTGGTTTACGATGTGCTAATTATTACATAGAGGAAAATGCATTTTAAACCTCCCCTTAAAATCTGCCCTTAACAACAAATTTGGGACTCAGGACCTTCCATCTCCACCCCTCTTGCACATGAGGAATGGATTTGCCCACGGATGACAGAGGGGCCACCTAATGTGCAATTGTGTACTCTGTTCTACTTCAGAAAGAAGTACTGTGTTGGGTAGTATGTCTTGTACAAATTAAAATTTAAACAAAAACTTTCTAGTGAATTCTGGAACGCTCCATAGATTTGCAAGGCACGTCTTAGTATGTTTCTTTGGGGATTTCTATCCAGCACTAAGAGTGCTTCTGGTAAGCTAAGAGAATGTGTGTGTGTATATGAGGACTTTTATCATTATGCCCTCTGTGAGGGTTGACAAGAAGTGTTAGTCGGGCTCCTTTGAGGAATGGAAGGAAGTGTACAATTGAGGCATAAACATTTAGTAATCTGCTCTGCTGTTTGGTTCTTAATTGGAATCTAGTTGGCAACCTCCACAGGGAGGATGCTCACAAACATGAAGGAGACATGTTTGATGATGATCCAGATATTAATCTCAAAGGGTCGAACCATATGGTTGAGATAAATTTGCTGCTTACCGGATGTTTATTAGACATAGTATTAAAGTATGCTGCATTAGCATGGAGCATAACCAGAGGAAAAGAATGAGACTTCAAAGGTTTTGTTGTAGCAAGTGGTACAAGCATTCCTATATTACGCAACAAGATTTCAGTTCAACCATTAAACATGCAATTTTATTTTAACTTTAATGACTTAAGGCTGTATATTTGTTCACTGAAAGTTAATATTTAGCATGGGATGTTTACAGAGGATAGGTTAGGCAGATGAATGTGAAAGATTGTGAATCTTGAAAGCTCAAAAGAATATTCAGGACCTGAAGAATTGGAATTGAATGAAGAATGTTCTTTCTAGATTTCGAAGCCATTCTAATGGAGCTAAAATATTTAACATCATTGAAAGCTGTTCCAATCCTGTTACTGCTGCAAGCATTTTTCTTTTACAGTTCTTAATTTTCCTACTTACACTGCGTCATATCTGTGACTTGTTTTATTAACAGGCTACTTACCCAAGCTGTGTATAATTAATATTATCTGGTATCTCTTGCACTTCCTGACTGTATATTTTAAATGGATCTTTTAAAAATAAACTGTGTCATACAGAGGACACCATCTCAACATTGCCTCAGTGCCATATATGCCAATTTGTTCTATTGACTTATTTTCCAATTATTTTCTAACACTCTTTTTAAAAATCCCCCAGTCCCATTTTCCTTCTCTTCCCTCAACCGTTTAGCACAACCGAAGATCTGTCAGGTCTCATTCTAACCTCTTCGGTGCACAAGAGAAGCCTATGGTGACCCTTTAGCTTTCAAATAATACTTCATTATTATTGTTTAGGTAATTTGGTCCCAATGACCAAGCCCTTCCTCTCTATATTTATTAGAATATTGGACAATTACAGGCACAAACCTGTCTACTTTGGCATGAATCCGAATCAATCTTGAATGTTACTTTCCCCAATGAGCAGACCAAATCACAATCCATGATTTGTGTGACAACACTGTATAAAAAGTAAAGTGCTCCTGGATATATCCTGTCTAAATGACTTGTTTTATATTGGACGTGCTTGAGAAACCAGAAATCAGTGTGATCTCTCTTAAGATTTATATGCTGGGTATGAAAGGTATGCCTGCAGACACATTTTTTTTGTGTTCTGATTAGATTTTATTAATGCAGAAAATCACATTTCTCCTGAAATTTCCTTTTCCAGGACTCTGGACAAGCCATTCCTCTTATCGTAGAAAGTTGTATTCGATTTATCAACCTTTATGGTATGTTTTAAGAGTCTATCCCTTGTGGCTGACATCCTTCCTAGATTTAATCATTGTTGTTTCTATGTAAATGCTTGTCTTATTGCATTAACTAAATGGGACTCATTTGTAAAACTGGACAGATTTTCATTCTGCTTTCTTCATTTCCTCTCAAGGTCTCCAGCATCAAGGGATCTTCCGAGTTTCTGGGTCACAAGTTGAAGTCAATGATATTAAAAATGCATTTGAGAGAGGTGAGTAATTGCGATTGATTCACTGGAAGGGACTGCAATAATAACTATCCGTTCACATCCTATTTAGCAAGGAACATTTATCTGACCTTGTGCCATTATAACATGTGATGGCTTCTAATAATAAATGTCCTGGCAGATGAAGTTTAGAAAGATAATTGCTTTTATCATGACTCCAGGGTACGTAAACTGTGCCAATTTGATTTATGTGACTTATCTCCTGGGCTTGATTTTTCAAGGTTCCTTTTTAGTTTTCAGCTGCTTGACAGTAAAATGTTATTAGAAAGCACTATACTGTGCATTTAATAGTGTAGGGCTACATGCTATTTTTCTCCTATATTTTATCTATCAAACTGGATTTCACTTTATCTTGACTATGACAGAAGTTGTGCTATTTCTCTGCCATTGAATGTTATTGCTATTTTAAAGCAAACCAACTATCTTCTGACTTCTGAAAGGGGGGTGTAAATATTCTTCTGCATGTTGTGAAAAGCAATTTTTCATTGTTGAAATAAGAAGAAAACATTCTGGTTTTATGATTTTTCTTTATGTGGTTCATACTTGTTGCTAATTATAATTGTAGGATGGTTTCAAAAGTTCTCGCATTTTTTTAAAAAAAGTAAAATTATTTTACAATACAGTAAAGTTTTTTTTTAAAAAAAGTAACTAGCTTTGCTGTCGTATTCATTTATTTTAAAAGTTACAGAGATTGGTCAACCAAAAGATAGGTTGATTCCTTGAACAAATGAATGAGCTTGTTAAAAAGTATGTTATGTTGTATATGTTCCAATATTTCAGCCATGAGTAATTGCTTGATTTAGACAGGTTTTACAAATGTAAAAGTTTATCACCCTTGTTCTGCCACAAACCATTCAACTTATAAACTGACAAGATGATTCAGTGGAATGCCCTATTGAAATGACTGCCCTTGTATGAATTAAAGAGTTTGTACTTTTTTTCGATATATATATGTATAATATATATATACACTGATATATTTTCTGAAATAGGTCAAGATCCTTTGGCAGATGATCAGGACAATCATGACATTAACTCCGTTGCGGGAGTTCTGAAGCTATACTTCAGAGGACTGGAAAATTCGCTCTTTCCTAAGGAAAGATTTAATGAACTTCTGTCTTGTGTCAGTAAGTTGGTTATTTGTTCATGGTCTTTAATATTTACGCCTGGTGTGCCACCACTTCTAATTGAAACAAGTTTAATTTAAGGCTCGCTATCAAATTGATGGTAATTTGTTCAAAATAGTCTGTCTTTTATTATACTGCCTGGATTATTATGTCTCATAAACCCATCACCTCGCTTAAAAGTCTCCAAACCAAGTTACTGAGCGTTCTTGCTTGCTGGTTGAATATTACACTAAATTGACCGGTCAACCCAACATCATTTCCTGTTTGCAGGAAAGTAACAGGAAGCAACATCAGCGGTAACCTGATGATCCTGAAAGTGGTCGTTTTAGCTTCCTGCACATAAAAAATGATGACTTGAATAACCCGCCAGCATCACTTCCTGTTTTGCGTAAGGGTAGCCAACAGAAGTGTCAGCAGCGGTGACCTGATGGCCTGGAAGTTGGCCTTGTCAAGCGTGGGAGCAGGCCGGCACACAGGGAGTGTGCAGGACATCTACCAGCATGTGCAGTGAATTCAGCTATTGCACTTCGCTATAACTTGGGTTGGGATTTTATTGATCCCAAACGCCATGTTGTAATGAGGCTCCACTGTGTGTATTGCTTCCATTTGTTCGGGATGGAATATGCACTCTCTTCCAAATTCCATGAATGAGCAATACTGGTGGGATTTTCCATCAGCAGCTTGGACTAGTGTAAATCCCCAGTTCACCTATAAATACAGTCACTAGACTTTCCAGTAAAATCCTGTGAAGCACTCAGAAAGGTTTTGACGACATAAGGCAAGGATTACTGTATTATTTAGGTAATTTGGGTGTTTTTTTAACCAGATCGATTGATATGTGTAGGGATAGTGGGAGGACAAAGGGAAGGATTAAGATTAATTAAGGTTCTGCAAGTGTTTCAGAATTTATAACACAAGGAAAAAATCCACTATCCACAAAAAATCCACTAGTATTAAATGTAACTGATTCTAGCCATGCAAACCAAGCAATCCTCTTTTTATACATGTGGAAAGGGAGGATGTATTTTTACATCCCCTTCTGACTGTTTATCATTGAAATTCTGCTATTTTAATTGACGTTATTCACAAGGGAGTTTCGTTTTATTTTCGAAATATACTTTGGTCATTCTAAGGAAAGAGCCAAGATCAGAGATGGGATAAAAAAAATTGCTTTCAACGTGCAGTGGCAGTTGCATTGAATTTTGAGTCATAAAATTTGCTCCAGAACAAATTATCCCCTTCCCCTCCATCCCGACACAGTAGTTATTTTGCAGTACATTCATATGCATTTAAAAGGCTTTTCTGTCTATTCCTAGCGTAGCACATTTGTCTATTGCATTAGGTTTACAGAGATATGACAAGAATCCCAACCTTGTATTCCAAACGTTTAAGCTCCGCTCATGAACACAAGCTGGCTGAAGCACAGATATTAATGAAAAGGCTGATTCAGATAGAAAGCTGCCATTAAATATTTACTATGGCAAAATGGTGAGAGTTGAATTTTTTTTTCTGGTTGGCGTTGCTGGTAACGTAATATCCTCCATTTCATGTGACCAGCTCCAGATGGCAGAAATAGTTGAGGCCAGTTTCTTAGAATAATCCTTTCTGAACTCGGCCACCTACGTTCATTTGCGCAGCTTTATAGTAAATGATGAATTTGCAATATTGCATTCATCTTGTTCATTTAGTCTTGGCAAATATTTATCCGCTCTCAGTTTTCCAGTAAACTAATGCTTGTAATTTTTTAAAAAAAGTTAAATATGATCTTTTTCAAAGTGCAAAATGAACTCTGGTTCTTTCTGCTCTAATGAATCTTAAGCGCTCTGGGACACTACCCCATGTGAGGGACGCTATATAAATTCAAATGCAAGTTGTTGTTATGTTTGGAATCTTCTCTTCCCCTTTTCAGTATTTTATTTGATCTCGTTGACCACATCTACCAACACCTCCTCCTTCTCCTTGCTCAGCGTCCATCCCTGTCACTGTTGAATGCTCCCAAGACATTGTCTACGTGGAAGACACTAGATAAATGCCAGTTGCTGCTATTGTCAATTTTCATCCAAAATGTATCCTCCCTCAACTGAGAGTGGTTGGTCTCACACTGTTTGAAAATGTAGAACAGTGTTGCACTTTACAATAATGCTACTACTCACTTTGAGCATAAGATTAATTCTTTCACAGGTGGTCTTTGAACATTGTATAATATGTGTTAAGTATAATATTTTCTTCACTTTGCCTTCAGGAATAGATAATCTGTACGAGAGAGCTCTTCATCTCCGCAAAATCCTACTGACCCTTCAAAGTCTGTGATTATTGTAATGAGATACCTCTTTGCCTTTTTAAACCAGTAAGTATTGCACTACTCTCTGCCTATTGCTCATTGCAATCTTTTAAAATTTATGATGGTATGACAGAGGTTAATTTCATAGGTAACCGCTACTTATCATACTGTTTTGTCTGTTAATGTGCAACCATTAAGGTTACGTCTGGAGAGAAAGTGAAATGGGAAAGGACTATCGACCGATGAAGATTAACCTAAGTAGACTTATAGTAAATGAAAACAAATGGTAGCACATTGATTAACTAAATTGGGTTGACCTTGAAAAGTGGTTGTAACATGACTTGAGCAGATAACCACATCTCAAAAGCTATTGTATGGTATTCTATACAATGTGTTCCTTCATCGCTGATGAATCCATTTGCCTCAACTATTAAAAAAAATTAATGTTTCCCTGAATGTACAAGTAACATCTGATAAAGAAATTGCTTCCATCTAATTGTAAACTCAAATATTTCGCCCCCCCCCCCCCCCCCACCCACCCTCAGCCCTGTTAATAGGAAGCGTAGAATAACTCATCCTGCTCTGCTTCTCAGGAAACCCAACAGAAGGTTTTCCTGTGCAGAACAGGAAGCCTTTGTTTTTCCTTTTCCTGCATGGATGATGCAGCCAAGACTGGGAAAATAACTCCTCCAGGAGAAGCCTAGATCTGAACAGCAATCCGGAGTCATTTAAACCAGATATTCAGTCAGACATTAGAGCAACAGCATGGTAACTGTTAGACAAATGTATGCATTTTGTTCCCATTTGCAACTTGAGAATTATTTTAACATTTTACTGTCTCCAAATCAAAACAATTACAATTATTTTATTAACCAGCAAAGATTATTATTTATAATTTTTTAACTGATTTTTATTCCGATTCTGTATTAAGGAATTGATGGTTTTCACTTTACTGACAGTGGAATGAAAACAATGAAGCATAGTTATTACTAGCAGCGGGTATCATATAGTCCCCAAACAGTTTATTAGGTTTTTTCACTTATGTTGTGTTTCAATTGTACACTGAAGTTTATTTTTATCACTCGCTTAATTAAATAATGTGTGGGGGCGTCTGTGGGAAGAAACACCAACACTATACATAAAAGATGCTGAATCTATAATGCTCGAAACTACAGTGCAACCTCATTAAAATGAGCTTGTTTATAGCACTGGTTAGTTCATAGCACAAACAGGGTGTGGACCCCATTCACTGTGCATATGTGTAGTTGTCGGTGCTCAGAAAGCATGGGAGCTGGCAGAGGTTCAACAAGTGAGCGGGCCACTTGCATGCATTCACAATGAAAACCCAGGTTGGGATTTTATGTGCCCGAACTACCACGTTACGACAAGAATCCACGATTCTCCTTTAGTTCGTGCATCTACAAAATAAATGTGGACCCATCGTCTGGAATCTCTATAGAATAACTGATTGTACCTCAGACCAGTCAGGTTCAAGAATCACACACGGTTTCTCTTGAAGCCAGAATAATAGCATTATTCTGAAAGACGCAACACTTTTTCAGTGATCTATAAAAGCTAGGACCATAATCGAAAAACTACAAGAGAATTGCAATCTGTTACTAAACCTTCACCAGATGGGAATAGTTAGAAGGAAATGCAGAGAATGTGCGGCACAAGTTATCCAGGTATTCATTGTGTAAGTGTATTTTGTTTCAACCAGTGTCCCATCAATTTTTATTTTGTCTGTGCTATAGAGATATTATTGAGTATGTTGGCAAATGGCATTGGATCATTAAGATTTTTTTTATAAACTAGTTTGTAAATCTTATATTTATTATTGACCTTGTTCAGGGGAATTAGTATATCTACTAACTTCTAAGTGACTCCTAAGTAGTCTTGGTGGAAGGGACGCTTTCAGAAGCATATAGTTCAAACGATCTATTGGAGAAATAACCACTAGACAAATTGAGTTTAATATTTAATATAAGACATTATACAAGTGTTAAAAAATAACCAATGCAGTTGCATAGTGAAGGTGCTAAAGGTTGAATCAGATTTTTTTTAAATGGCACAACGTAATAGTTTATCAAATTTTGAAATCATTGTTGTTATGGCAGTAATTGCTAAAGCAAATGGAGGATTGGGGAGTGTACACAGGAAATGATGCTGTTCTTAAAGCAGTGAGGGTGCCAAATGTGTTCTATTTGATTACCCTCCTAACAAAAAAAGGCAACTACTGTATTATAATATTTGGCTTGGGGAGAAGCTAAGAAAGTTCTCATTGGGAAGGAAGAAAGTTTGGAGGAGATGTGGAAGGATATCTTTCCAAGTTTATTTAAAACATGGAAGATTTTAATAGGCTGGGGTAGGAACTACTTAATGGAACTAACCAATGTGGAGTCCTGTAGTTCAGTGGTTAGAGCACTCGCTTTGGAAGCGAGAGACCTGAGTTTAATTCCAGGCAGAGGGCGAAACCTTGGGCAAGTTTCCTTACTCCACACGCCTAATAATAATCCCTCCAAAACCAAAAACAATAATAAATTGGTCATTTTCAATCTACGACTGTTTGTGGGACATTGCTGTGTGCAATTGGCTGCCGCGTTCGCCCACAAATATACAGTCAATTCACTTTACAGTGTGTTCTGTGAAGCGCTTTGGGATGTCCTCCCGACGTGAAAAGCGCTATATCAAAATGCAAGGATTATTATTATTATAAGCTGAAAAAACATAACTAAGCTTAACCTCAAGGGTAACGTTCACACTTAAATTATGGAAAATTCTTGCATCCAGCATAATGAATGGTGGCTCTGTTGAAGCATTTAAACAGTAAATGGACAGAGTCCATATTCAAGAGGGAACTGTGAATATATGTGCTTGTAGTAAGGCAAAGAGCAAGGTTACATTTTTATCAACAGGCTCTGGAATGAATGAATCAATTTTTTCGTTCTTGCTTTATGTTCTTAAGAATCAAATACAATAGCAATCATAATATTGGCATAATATTATTAAAAATTCTCTCAGAAAAAATCGTAATCATAGAGCCACAATGTATAATTGACTCAGTGGTCCAATAATTTTTTAAAAAATGCATTTGAAGATTTTATTTTTGAAAGGAACTTTAGTATACGTTAAATAAAATAAGTTATTTTACCCCTACAATAGCTTGTTGTGCTGTAGTAATGAATAATGAGTTGGCACCTTTATATGGTCCTTTTTATAATTTTGTTTTTAATTTTTCTATTTGTTATATACTACTCCTCATCCTTTTTATGCTGTATGTTTGGTATATAGAATAAAAGGAGAAATACACAAAGTTCCTCCCCAGGAAGACACCAACTGGTTTCAGGAGTAGCGCAATCCACACCTGTACCTTATAAACATGGGGAGTGTGAATTAACACTAGCCCTGCTCTTTCGAGGTCTGAAGAAACCTTAAAGGCATTCTGTGGATGGCCTGTTTTTACATAATAATGTTATTGGTGGGCCATTTGCTTGACTTTTAAAAAAAAACTAATGCCAAATTTCTGGATGCTCAGAATGCTGAAACCAAACTGTTTTTAATCCTGATACAAATTAAAGTATAGTGGGAAATATAGAGTGAGTTTCCTGTTTTATATTTATTTCCTGTACTGCCTAAACCAGAACTATTGGGTGTCTTTAGGGCTGATAATATACGGTCAATTCACATGACAGTATATTCTGTGAAGTGCTTTGAGATGTCTCAACAACGTGATAATGTGCTATATCAAATGCAAGTATTAATATTATTATAAGCCTATTTTGGTGCTATACGGTCTATGCAATTCTATATCGTCTGGGGGCATTGGAATGGTAATGGAAAAAAAGACCTTTTATTGTTGAAAACAGCGAGTTTGATTTGTTCCATGATCTGTTAGTGAGACATTCTCTGGCTTTTTAGAAAAAAAGAGTGGCTGTTGAGTATGTCTTATGTTTCAGCAAGTGATTAATTGAAACTGGGGGGGGATCCTTTAAACAGTGTAGAATTCATACAGGTTTCGGGAATCAATGTGTGGGTTGAAATGAACGCAGTTCCAAGATTCCAGGCGCATAACACAAGTGCCTAGTTTCTCAAGGACTGAAACCTATCATGCTGGCAGCTGTGTTCAGTTCCAGTTTTGCTGCAAATAATACAAACTATTCACTATGTTTGGTCATTTTCTCTGACATCTAACTGTTTCCTTTTTTCTTCTCTTGGCAGCTTGTCTCAGTACAGTGATGAAAACATGATGGATCCTTACAATTTGGCAATATGCTTCGGTCCAACGTTGATGCCTGTCCCTGATATACTAGATCAAGTCTCATGTCAGGCTCATGTAAATGAGTTAATTAAAACCATCATCATTCATCATGAGCTAATTTTCCCAGATGTAAAAGAGTTGGATGGTCCTGTGTACGAAAAGTGCATGGCTAGCGATGACTATTGGTAGGCCCTGGTTTTCATTCTTGTGTCTTCACTCCCTAACACATCTCTGTTTCTGTGATCTTCTACCCTACTCTTCTCATCACTTTCACTCTATTACCTCATCCCACCCCTACCTACCTCTTTGACAGCAACTATCACCTCCATCTCCCCTTTCTTTACTCCCTTTCCTGGTGTCTGTGTGAAGCATTTCAAGGTGCTATCCTACATGAAAGGTGCTATATAAATGCAGGTTGTTGTTGCCTTTTCACTCTGCCATTTAATATATTACTGAGAATCAAATTAATTTAATCAGATTGAATCCACATGGTTGCCCTTGGTTTTGAGTAGCAACCACTTCAAGTGCTTGTACTAGCAAACTGCTCTAATACCTTAGGTCCATATTTCTGAGGTCTAAATTTTCTTAGTCTGTAGGGCTATCTATGTATGTCTTCAAATGCAAGTTTGCACAGAATTGTGTTCTTAAATTCAGACTTCATTTGGAAGTTGTTTTTCTATAGGTCTTCAAAAGAACCAACTTCCAAATAAAGCCTGAATTTAAGAATTTTGCACCGTTCTGTATGATTTTAAAGTTTAAGATAAAATCGTTTCTCAGGCTATAATTGTTTCAAACCTAAAAATGCTGCAATGAACAAATTCCCAGCAAACAAAGTATTGATTGGGGGCCATTGGAAAAAGAGTAAAGGTGGTGAGAAGGGATTTACCAATCAGCTCATTCACCCCAATCCTTTATTAGTCAATAACGTGGATGGATACACCAAATTCAGGATTAGTTGCACATCAACAGCCTGTTTGAAAATATAGAGGTTTTCCAGTCACAACTGGTCAATGTATGATAAATAAACTCCTAATACTTCCTCATGAAAGTTCGGAATTTGCTGTGGTCATTCCAACTAGACAAAGCTGAGTCTCAGTAAGTCAAAAAATAAATTAGCCAAATGGGGTGATGTGTGGTGGTAACTGGGTTATAAATTGTTCCACTGATGTGTATTTGTTTTAAAATATCCCTGCAGAAAGAGGAGAAATAGAGAACCTCTGAAATAAGGGTAATAAATTCAACTGTAAGAGAAATGAGCAAAGGAAACTAGCTTTAGTTTTTCCCTCTCGAGTTGTGCAGCTCTTTTACGATATTCTCACTTTCTCTATCAGTGATAGCCCCTACAGTGAGCATGGAACATTGGAGGAAGTAGATGTGGATCCTGGCACTGAAACTCACACAAGTGAAGATGGTATGTTCTTAATAAATCAACTCTAAATCTAGTTTAATGTAACATTTGGAACAGTAGTTTGTTTCACAGCACTTGGGTTTTACTATTGGATTTAATGCAACCTCTACCTGATATTGTGGGTGAAAATAAACTTGGGATTGTAAAACCGACATTTAATTTGTGCTTGTTTCAATGAAAATATGATATATATTTGAATATAAAACTGCTTTGGACGCGGGATTAGAGAGAGAGTTTCACATTTTCACAATACAAATCTCATTAATGGCTCAAGAATGGCTCTCTTGGAAGTAGCATAATCATTAAAGAAAGTGATGGTTTAAGCTACATCTACAAGTTTAATTTGCTTTGAATTAACAGAGTGTAAATTAATGAAAATAATTTTGCTCAAAGGAAAAGCGGAACATTTTAATTACAGTGTACAGCTGATTAGCATTGGAAGGAGAAAGAAGAGTTAATATTTCAGCTCTCACTGGGCTATGATAAATACCCGAAATGTTAACCCGAGTTTCTTAATTTTTGGGTGTCTGACACAAGCAGAAACCCATCACCGTGCTCAAGATTACACATGGAAATCCCAGAGATAGATTGTTGGAATAGAATGCGCACTCTCTCCCTGGAGGGATGCATCCTGCTTGCCTAATTCTGAAAAGTATTAGGCACAGGTTGGCAAAAGCCAAGGCTTGGGGACCTCAGAGTGTGCGTTGGGGTGCTGGAGTCTAACCACGTAGCTTACCATTTATATTGCTCTCTGGCAAGCTTCCTGCTGTCTTTTCAGCTAAGATCACCCTACTTGTTGGGGCTTTGGCTTTCTTAATCATACTCTGCAATAAGATACAAGTCAAGATCATAGATTTACATGGTTACAAAACAGGATATTTATGTTGGACTGATGTGAATGGCAAATTTGAATTTCCTGATTATTTTTTTTTGCCAAGTCAACATTATCCATAAACAAGCATAGCACAGAACATAAGTAATGTAGCAAACTGAGTAAATCCATAACACTCAGACCTTCATGTAGCTATTGTAACAGAAGTGAGTGAAAGAAATTTAACATAATTTCTTTTTTCATTCAGTATATTCAATGTCCCTATATATACAACCCAGAATCCAATTTTGGCTTTTTTTTTTACCTGTACTTGCACTTTTAGAGATGATGTAAGTCTAGATCTCTTTGTTCCTCAACATCAAAAGCGTTATTTTATTTATTATTTTTCCAAAATCAGTATTTCACGTTTTTCAGCATTAAACTGCATCTACCACCTATCTACCTCTTTGCTAAGTGCTCTATATCAGCCTGTACTTTGTTCCCCATTCTGCCCCGAATTTGGTATCATCGACAATCTTAGAAGTTGTTCCCGAATGCCGCTTTCTAAATTGAATCTAGATTGAAAATAATAGAAGTTCCAGCGCAGATTCCTGGGGCACACTGCAACTGCATTCCTTTACTAAATACCATGACGTACTCAAAAAAATGTTCAATTATTCAAGCATGGCCTGCCCTTTACAAATCGATGCTGACTCTCCCAGATCATCCTTGCCTTTTAGTGTTCACAAATGAGTCTTTAATTGAAGAGGAGGAGGGGAAAATATGAGGAAAATGTGAAAAGAAATGAAAAGAACTGTGGGCCTTACCAACACGAAGAAACTAACACCCAAACAATTACTTAGTCATTTATGGGAATGGAAAAAGCATTTCGGAGGGAATGGAAAGAAAGAATGCATTCTTGTCTCAAAAGCACATTTAATGTGAGAAAAGGTTGAAGGAATGTTTGATTGAGTAGGTGCGGGGATGGGATAATTAATACGTGTTGAAATGAAATGCTAAGAGAGTATTAGTATTACTATCTTTAAGACTGAAGTTATTACTACGAGAGCCAGTGACCTGAATGAATAAAGTAGTGCAATCCTACAAAGCTGAAAAGCATTGTTTTTGAGGTTGGACTTTATCTCATTTATTTGCAGTTAATAATCTTAAAGACTTGCCATGCTGCAACATGACTTTTATTGGAGGTAACTGGCATATAAGGTGTAATTTTCTTTCTTGCAGAGATGCCAGTCCTTGAAATTGACTTATTGAGACCTTACTGGTTTACAGTCATTTTGATCGAGGATTTGTAATACCACTTGATATAATCTAAAGCCCACAGAGCTGTACTCACAGAATTATATATGAAACAGCGATGATGGGTCACTCATCCTGACACTGATCCCTTGTTAAGAATCAATATGAAAACTGTAAGAAGAATAGGAAATATTGATTGAACTGACATCTGCTGCAGTGCTTTTCCTCATTGAGGACAATGATGAATTGCCGTGACTGTGTTTAAGGCATGTTGGTCAGACAGTAAAATGTCCCTGTTTTAATGGTCCAATATTCACTCTTTTCTTTGTATGCTAAATATATATTGGCTTATGTAGTACATGCATTTTCTGAGATCTGAACAATTCTCATGCCAGAAATGTTAACTTATCTTTCAGATTTCATTCAGATGTTGATTTGAATATCCAGCATTTCTGTTTTTAGTTCAGATTTCCAATATTAGTTTTATTTTATACATATTCCTGTATCTTAATGATTCGAGGACTCGCATCGCAAGCAAGAGGACCTAGGTTTGATTCCTGGGAAGGGCGAAACATTGGGCAAGTTTCCTTACTCCACATGCCTCTGATATGGGCAACTGCCTGCTGGGTTTTGCCCAGAAAATATACAGTCAATTCACTTTTCAGTTTATTCTGTGAAGTGCTTTGGGACGTCTCGAAGACTTGATAAGGTGCTATATCAAATGCAACGATTATTATTCCTATTGTGGGATCTAATCGCTCATACTGATATTTACATAATTAATTTGCAACATAATTACCAGCACATGTAATTCTATTTTTACACATGATTAACCCAACCATAAATTAGACCCCATTGTAACGTAATTTATAAATTTCCAGCTCTATAGTTTTGGGAGAACTCCTAAATGGGTCAAGTTTTGGGAATATTATTGACACAACTACTTGTTTTAAGATTTGCATTTGTAGCAACGGCAGAATTATTTCCAAGATTTGCTACTATTAGTTCCAAAAGTCCAACATTCAGTCTTCTACATTTTCTGCAATTTGATTTTATCCCAGCATTTTGCTTGTACTTTTGCCACCTAAACTCTCTAATATAAATGCTTGTTGTCTAAATCAATGTGTTCGTCAGTCTAATGTTAACAGACTTGACATTGACCTTGCTGATAATATCAATGCTGCTGGCTTCTCTTGCAGATTTTTAGAAGGATTGCCTTCACTTTTCCTAGAACACAAACTCAGCATTAATGCTGCTTGCAGACTTCCAGAGATCAGCGGAAACAACACATCCTCATTGCATGATTCCTGACTTTCTTAAACCAATCATAATGATGTTTATTAGGACTGGCACTGAAACTCATAACTGTGTCCTTGAAGTTTCAATCCAGTTCCTGATGGATGTTGATTTATGACCTAAAACTATCAGGTCATAATTCAGCATAAATAAGCAATCTTGTTTGCCATGAGAGACACCACAGAATGCCTGGTGTGGAAAGTGAAAAGTTGTCATTGTTGCAGTAGGGATACTCTTCGAATTAAATGTTCCATTCCCCAGAGATGAAATTCCTAACTTTGGTGAGAACAGAATTCATAAAGAAGTAACAAAATCATGATCGGAACTATCTTATGTAGCTTCAAAAATCAGCTGTCAGTTTGGAAATGTCGTATTTGTACCCATTGTGTTAGATTGAGCACTGGCCTGTTCTATATCCACTGCCCAATCCACCCCAGCATTGGTAGCCAAGTTTTCAACCCTCACTCATTCTGCCCTCAATTTTTGCAATTCCGTCCCTTTGCCTCGCTCCATTCCCTTCCCACTATTAAAGCCCATCTTAAGACCATTTTTTTTGACAATGCTTTTAATCACCTCTCTTCCTCCCCGCCAGCTCTCCCCATCTCCAGCTCAGACTCCCAGCAACTCCGGATATTGTCTTGAGATGTCCTCCCGATATGAAAGATATATAAAAGTTAAATTATTGTTGTTGTTACTGCAAGTTACAGGTGACAGCTCAGGCTCTAGTGGATTTTCTATTGCACTTAAAACTTGCTCAAAGGACATAGAGGGTTTAAAATGATACATCTTTTGCTGTGTTTTCTTTGTTCATCGATTTGAATGTATTGATTATAAAGATGACAAAGTAAATGTCATGATACACTGTCATGCTGTAAGTTCTCGTTGATATACATGCTTCTCTGTGTGACAAACTAAAGGGTTCAACCACATACTCTTGTTTTGGGAATTGGGTGAAGGAAATTGAGTGTAACAGTAATAATTCTGCTTTACAACTGACTGAGATAATACCTCTTGCTCTGTTTCAGAATGTGAACCCATAGAAGCTATCGCCAGATTTGATTATGTAGGAAGAACTGCTCGAGAATTGTCATTTAAGAAAGGAGCTTCTCTACTTCTCTATCACAGAGCCTCTGAAGATTGGTGGGAGGGAAGGCACAATGGAATAGATGGGTTGGTGCCCCATCAGTACATAGTTGTGCAGGATACGTAAGTAGGAGCTCTCGTTTGCTCAGAATTCACTTTGACATGACTGTGAACAGATCATCAGTTGGTTGTCTTGGAACCAGAAAGTTGTGGGCTTCAATTGTGTGGCTGCTCTCCAAAATTAACTTCAGTCTAAAGTAAGTCCTTTCTAAATTAGAGGAGTAAGAAAGATGTCAGCCATGGCCGCTCACAGTGCTGCTTCTTGAACAGCTGGCAGAAGGCAAGATGGGATGGGATGGTGGGCTGGTCAATGCCACGTGTTCACTGTACTGCCTGTGACAAGCATTTTGTTTCCCTAAGCATAGATACTTGATATTAACAATGTCTGAAAAGTAATCTCATGATTGAGCTGGCTCTGAGGAGACCTCTCTTCCATATCTACAGTAATCCAAAGTATTATTGTCGATTAACTCATCTGCCTGGCTCATCGTTGAGACTTGGAGGTCTAGATACATCCTCATTCTATCTGAAAGGTTGTCTTTTCTAGACAAGGACCAAGTACCGGGAGATACTGATCAATACCAATTCATTTTCCCTTGAATCAGTTTTGCTTTAATCTGCTTTTATATTTTGAGATGTACATAAAATAATGCACTATGGAATATATATTTGTGAACAAAATTGGAGCAATTTACCCCAAACTGCCTTAAACTTCTAAGAGAGTCCTCGGAACAGCTAAATTATGTATGGGATATTAGCTGTGTATTTGTTTTGTTACTCAGATGATTTGTCTCATGAAGTATAACTTCAAGATCTGTTTATTGTACACTATTAAGAAAACATATGAATGAGAAACTGTGAAATAAAGATTCTTGACAACCAATCTATAGATAATAAAATCAGTAAACAACAAATATTTATGTTATTCATTCAATTTCTACTAGGGCTGCCACTTGGAGCAATATGAATAGGTATTTGCTCACAAAGCAACGACTTGGATTATTCTGCATGCTTTTACTCAGCATTCATGTCTTGATCAATCAGCTCAAGATGGCATGGGCTAATGTACTATGAATCAAGCCGTGTATAAAAATACATTGGTTTCTAGGAATGTTATAGCTCAGGCTATAAAAATAGCACACGAGAGAAAATCAACTTATTGTTTTTGTTTTAATATCCAATCTTCAACTAAAGATTAAATGTTATTTGGATGCACATAAACTCATGCTTACTGGTTCCTATCATTACTATTAAGTATTGCAGTAATTGCTAAGATAGAACTGTATTGATGTGTGTGTATATATATATATATAATAATATATGTAGATTGCTCTCTAAAATAAATTATTTACAAGCCAGAGAGGCAAGAAAGGTGTTATCCATGAACATGTGCTTGACGCCCGCAGTGCTCGTTCTCGAACAGCTGGTAGAAAGCAAGGGGAGCTAGCTGGTCAATGTCACATGTTCACTATGCTTGCTATATATAGCAAGCATTTTGCTTTCCCTAAATGCAGACTCATAACATACAGAAGTTCTCTTCCAAAACATTTTTGTTGCTATATTATTAGGAACTGCAAACTTTTTAATGCTTTTTATGCCGTTACATAAACCATCCACATTAGGATTCTTGCCGTGCTCTCTATGCAAAAACTAGTTAAAATGTCAACAGACTTGAAGATAAAGGAAGCTTAAGGTTATCAATCGAATGAAGCAGCTGACAAGTTGTGTCTCCTTTCATGTTTCTCTAATTTGACCTTTAGAGGTCACTCTGATTACATATTGCGTTGTGAATAATTCATGAATTGATAATGAGATTTCTGTACACTGAACTGTCCTTAAACTTGAAACATTCAACTGTGTTACTTTCAGGGATGATACATTCTCTGATACTCTGAGCCAAAAAGCTGACAGTGAAGCTAGCAGTGGGCCAGCAACTGAAGACAGATCCTCCTCCAAGAATGATGTCAATTCCCCAACTGAGCGGATTCCAGATGTATTTGCAGCTAGGTCAGTTTCACTCGCCACCATTGGATCCCCTCAATGATTTTACACATGTTTTTCCAGTAATATTTTTACACAATTACATTTGAAAAATAATACTGTAAGCCACTGCTAGATTCCCTTCGACCAGGGTTGGAAAATAGTGTGCCTCAGTGAGCAGAAAGGGAGAACTCACGTTGATATGATGCCTTGTCGTGTTGAAACATCTCAAAACACTTTACAATTAATTACTGTCAGATATAATGACTCTATACTTGTCAGCAAATGGGGCAGCCATTTTAAGCACATGAAGGTCTCATAAAGAGCCAGGAAGTGAATGACCAATTAATCTGGAAGATTGTTGGCTAAGACATTGGGAGAAAACTTTTCTTTTTGAAAAATGTCGGGGGATCTCGACTGTCCACATAAAGGATAAGCAATTTATGAATTGTAGACAATTATAATGCTGCTGATACTTATGACTATGGTGACCCATTGTCACAGCTTTGTTGCATTTTATCGCAGTTGTTAACTCACTGAGCTTGACCATCAGTAGCTTGGTGCAATCCAATGGTAAGATTGTTTTGTAAATTTAATTTGAACTTGTGTGAATCAAGTTGCTAGTGGAGATTTAAAAGAGTTCAAAAGAAAATCTGAATGCTGGAAAACTGAAATCAAAAAACTGGAAGTGCACGAAATGTCAATGAGCAGCTGAAAGAGAGGTGAATAATTCGGACAGGATTCTTGTGCATCCCGAGGATTAAACTAAATTCAACTCTGCATAAATTATTTGATTAACGGACAGAGACTAGTAAATAAAGGCCTATCCATAGACTTAAGCTTGCATCCAAGTCCCTGAAAGTAGAGCAGGATTTTGAACCAGTACCCGCAGTGTAATTGTGGCACATGTCCTATGACAGACACAAGTCATCTTCTGCCCCATTAACATCTCTCCTCATTAATCAAGTGCTTTCTTTGTTCCTCGAAGAAGAGGAGTGCAGTTGTGTGTTGAGAAATGTGTACAGATTGTTCTGTAATGTTCTGAGGTTCCATAGACTGGAGTCCTGGAGTGTAAATAAAGCAGCACCATTTCAACTGTCCAATGTGTTCCAAGATGGGTCGACATGAAATGAATTCACGTATAGTACATCTTTTTATAGGCAGAAGAGGAGACCAGATATCCCAATAACAAGGCGTGCAATAAGAACCAGCGATGGTCACTGTGCAGTGCACCCTGGCCATGGATTGGTGGATCTCGGCCCACTGAGCACACCTATCCACTGCAGCTCACGTGTTCTACTCCAGAACCGCAGCATTAGCATCGACAGTCCAGAGAGACGGCGCCGAGGTGGCCTGGGCAGCCTCTCCAACGTAAGCCGTCATGAGTCTGTGCGCAAGATTGAGAGCCCACCAATACGAAGGTCTGCATCTTCCGGACAATACATCAGTCTCAGTGAGCATAAACCACTGGATCCGGAAACCATTGCCCAGGTTTGTTAAACAAAGTTACCAATCTCCAAATTGTATTCAACCCTTTTAAGTGCCAATTTGGAACATTTCTATTTTTATCCTTTTTGCTACAGAATGTTTTACTTTGCGACTTTGTTCTCAAAAAGTGTCTCTTTCAAAATCCATTTGACAAAAACATGGTTATAATTTCCTACTGGTTTCCCATTAATTGGGCTAATTGTTTGTTGGAGTAATACAAAATCAGCAAAGATTTGTATTAACGAATCTCACATATCCAGCGCTGTGCGATCAGAGCTAATGGAGGTGGAACAATCCAGATTGAAGCCTTAGATTTTCGCATCTTAATATGTTTCTGATCTCATCCCGAGCTGCATAGAGAAAGCCAACTGAAAGTCAAATGCTTTCCCCAAGAATGAGGGAGGGTCAATGCAAGTAAGGATCATCATGGCATTGTTGCAGCACATGCCCTATCAGCTGGTTACACATTGCCATTGGCAGAATCTAGGAGCATGATCTAGCATTATGTGCACCACTGGAAATAAGTGTATGGGAACACCACCTGGCAAAGTTTTTTTTAATCTGACCTCTGTCTAGTACGCAACAATATTATCCACTATTTATTATGTGGCTCTTATCTACCTACGGCTTCATGATCAGCAAATATTGCAATATGCAAGGTTTTTTTAATGCAAAATTCACCAAACCAGGTAAGGATGTTTTGTGACATGATTCTTTGAATGAATCATTTCATATTGCGATCCAAAGTGTAACTTATAGAATATTAATTGAAACGGTTTGTATGGGAAAATGCGCAGGCTGAAGAGAGAACATTTCTTTTGAATTTTCACAAATGTAGTTTAACATCAATTTAGGTTGCATAAATTAGTTGGCTGCCTTAATTTTTTTTTACAGTTCTTTAGGATCACATTTCAGATATTCAGCTAAAATATATTATTAATGTTGTGTGTTTGAAGCTGACGTTATGAATTTTTTTTGCAAAGAGATTTGGTTGTATTTATTCGAGAACAACTACAATTTGAAGCAGTAATGGTTGGATTTTGCTTTTTGTCATTTGCCTTTCAAATAGCTTCTGTTTTGTGCACTGATTGATTGTATATTTTGATCTAACAGCAGCTACCTGACATGAAAGCTATTGTTTTCCTTGTGTGTTTTTAGATAAAAGCTGCAGTTTTACAACTTCAGTTGTATAAGAGTTTTCCTTATGGCAATAGATTTTTTTTGCCATAGGGAAATATCCATTATTTTGATGGGCGAGAGAAACAAAATCCAATTCTTGCTGTCTTGATTGTCCACGTTTTCTATCCTGTCTGTTTTTACTCATAAATCTTTTATAAGTTGCTGCACAGTTTTGCCAGGGTTTGGCTTGACTGACATATTAATTCTGTAAAAATAGCGTAGGTCCCTGCAACAAAACTGCAAGTAATTGACAAGTATGAGTTTCACGCTGTGTGACTTTCTTTTGGAATTATTTTGGATAATGAATACTTCCAGGGTATGTTTTTCTATCAGAAGCTAAAATGAAAGCTTTGAAGAGTTGGAAAATTGTAATCTGTCTAATCAGTATGTTTCTGGCCTCTGATAGGATATTGAAGAAACCATGAACACTGCGTTAAATGAGCTTCGTGAACTGGAGCGCCAGAGCACTGCAAAACATGCACCTGATGTGGTACTGGACACCCTTGAGCAAATGAAAAACTCCCCAATCTCTCTTCCATCCTCTGAACCAAAAAGCCCCCATCATGCTGTGGTGCTGAAGAGCATCGATCCTTCCATTCGGCGGAGTACCAGTTCCTCCAGTGACACCATGAGTACCTTCAAACCAATTCTGTCGCCTAGAATGGGTGTACAGCTTAAACCCCCTGCCCTTAGGCCTAAACCTATAGTTCTTCCCAAGACCAATCCTGGTCTGGGACCACCTCCAGCTAGCCAGAGCTCTACAGACAAATCCTGCACAATGTAAAGTTTAAGTCACAATGTGACTACATTGAAATAATTCAGGATTAAAGTCGGTGGCAAACATCTTAAAAGAATATTGATATTATATGTTTATAATTGGAGATGTATTCTTTCAGTGTTAGAATATATGTCTCGAAGTAGTAAATTAACAAGGGCATTTATTTACATTTCAAACTGGACTGTTTATATGTGCAACTTACATCGACATTAACTAGACTTGAAAACTTATGCTGCAATGGTAGACTTTTCTTTAAAAGAAACAGCNAAAAAAAACACCAAGACTTTCCCACCTTGTCTCCAGGAACATTCATTTAAGCAGGAAGGGGAAATGATGAAATTCCCCCCTCTGGGAAAATTTGGAGAAAAGCATTTGTCGATTTTGCAAGACGTAACGAACACCAGCCTTAATGGTGGCTAAATGCTTTGCCTTTTAATTATTATTTTTCTCATTTAACATTCCTTAGGCCTTATCGCCAGTTTTGCATTACGAAAACCATAGCTTTAGAATGAACGATTGCATCAAAGAGAACCACTTTTTAAAGTTGCTGCTTCTATTTTCGTCCCGTTAACAAAAGTCCTGCTCCTGCCTCCCCCACCCAACCCCATCCCTTTTCAATTACTTCAGTCTCACAAAGCTAAGCTGTCAATCTCTAGGATATTGGCACAGATAAATATTGTACATTCGCTTATTTAGAGCTAGGAGCACCTTTTCTGAATTGCTTACTGAGCAGTTCTCCTGATCATGCTTTCTAAATTGTTGTGCTGGCATTCACACGTCACTCAACTGTGACTGACGTGTGAATACCAGCAACCCACTGGAGAACAGTGAACTAATTCATTTTTTTTCTGGGTGTAAAGTTTTATTTCTTTTTTGCCTTTCATATTCCCCAATCAAAGGTGTTTTACTTTTGTCTTCCTACACTAAATGTCATTTCCATTTGCTGGAAAGCAACCTGTGACAATTCCCCTGGTCCACATGACACGTGTTCCGGGGCAGTGGCTCCTCGCTATTGTGTGATGTACATGAAGGAGAATGGTAGCCTCCAGTTTCCATCTCTGCATCAGAGGATGACACGCCCAAGAAAGTTTGAGATATTGTGCGAGAAATTGTTGGCTCATTTGTTTCCTAACGAATCCGGCTACTTTCTCCTTGTAAGCCCTCCAAGTGAAAACTTTCAGTCATGGTCTTTCTCCTGCAATACCAGGGAACCCCTTTACAGTGCTCTTCAATATAGTGCTGCCTCACTCACACCTTTTGGTAGTGTAACAAAATAAAACCACAACTTCCAGCTAAAGATACGCTTACCAGCCACTGGAGAGATTCAGCACTGTTACTAAACAACAGAGCGTAGGATCCCAGGTAGCATTAAAAAACATTCTGATGAACTGTTAACTCACTTCCTCCAGTCATTATAGCTGCGACTTTGCCACTAAAATAGATTTTAGGGCACTTTAATGCTCATCATCTCTCAAAAAGGACCTCCCACTTACTAACATGCACTGTTACTGGAATTGCGGTTAACAATGGTTTGTGGAGTTGGAACAAATGATTCCTCTTTTGGTCTTGCTAGTTTATACTCCTCAGGTTTGTTGCTTTCCTCCCTTAGGACCAGGGAGGACCAGCCTTTCAGCATTTTGTGATGTTCTGGGATTTACTGGGGCTCCTCTGACTGCTTTTTGTAAATGGTTCTATTATTTGCTTAGTCACAAATTGTCCTCTTTGGTTTACATTGTAATTATTTTGTTAATGTTTTAACCACTCTTTCCTTTATGCAAAGGCACTGGTGCGTTCCTCCAGTCCGAAATGCTGACCTCATTCCAATACCTTCAGTAGTCAACAAAGAGCTACCTAGGAAGAGGTGTGTGGAGAGAACGTGAATAGTTTCAATCATCTCCAATCTCTCAGTATTTTTACCGTAACTATTGGAAACCCCAGCAAACCAACGCCCAATATGTAACTTAAAGTAAGGACAAGGTCGTTGATTTCTGTTCACATTCTCTTAAAGGGACAGTCATTCCAGTGACCTTTTCGGATTTTGTTTTAAATTGGAATAATGATTAGGCCTACGGCAAGTGAGGATGCTCGTTTAAAGAGTGATAGCGATAGACTTCAAGTTTCAATAACATTTTCAGCCCCCCATAAGAAGTATATTTGTCAATAGTATATAAAGCAAATGGTTACCCTATTTATTCAGGTTGGACCACTTCACCTGTTAGGATTTTTGACTCACAGGGTTCAGGACATATCTACACCTGCAAATCTGCCTTGGATTACTGTGGACTTTCCAGGCTTTGACAGGCTTCTCCAGAAACGTCCTCACTGCCCCTCCCCACTTACAGAACTATTGTTAAGAAAACGTATGATGTTCTGTTCTTTCTCCTCCCCCTACCTTCACCACCGAGATGAAACTTTCCTTTCTTGTGGATCTTGCACAACACCTGCCCAGCACCTAGTGCTACAGCTGGGAGTGCTGCCCTTTTGTGACAAATGCAATGTTGCTGTGCAACTTGCTTGGGATTAAACTGTCCCTTTCAGCAACAAATATGGTCGCAGTTGTAATGAATATAACACACTTTTATTATAAGTGCCTGGCCTACGCTCTGTACCTTTCTGCAACAACACGGCTGGGCCTGGGAGTTCAGTAACATGGAGGTTCAATTGTGTATCTTTTTGTGGCAAAGCAATCAGTCAGAAATTTAGTATGTTTGTGACTATCAAGAAAATCTCTGCTTTTTGTGGGACTCCTAAATATCTGACTCCCAGATTGTTTAAGATCATAACTATCATCCGATGAAGGGCCATTTTCTTTAGTGTCCTGCAAACCATGCTTCATCCTCAGCTGAATGTTTAGAGGTATCCCAGCCTCTCTCAGTGTCACTCTGCAACAAGCTGCCAGGATACGTATGAATCTCCTTGGGCAACTCAAATGTTAGCTCACTTTCTCCCAATGGAGAGACACTGAGCATCTGCTCTACACCTCCTCCTGACCATATGGAGTCTGGGAGTTTGCCAATTGGAGAACCATAATCCTAACTTGTTTCCTACCACTGCATTGGTACATCAATCCACTGTTGCACAAGGCTGTCCACCCAATATCATCATTTTAATGAATGAATCTCAGAGTTAGAAATGTTCTGTTGTAAAAGCTGCTTATACATCCAATACTGTACTTAGTTCAGGAATATACTTAAAAACATTTTTAAATTATGATACACAATCATTTTGATCTGCCATTGACTTAACTGATGTGTTTAGTATTTTTGAAACATTTTATAGTTTCCACATTGTGAAACCTTTGGACGAAGGCAGTCGTACTTTAAGGAAAACGTAGCATAGACTGGAGTTAAATTAAGTTTAAAATCAAACGTGTATATCAGCCAAAATGGATGCTGCAACTATGTATTGCACCGAAATTTGCATATTCAACTAAGAATTATACTGGACTGCAAAATGCTTTTAGTACGTCTATTTAGCATAAACATATAGTAGAACTGATAAATGTAATGAATGTGTCTGGGTGCATTCACAGAAAAGTAATATGTAGTCCAAGGCAAGGCTTCTTTAAACTGCAATTAAAGTGGATTTGTAACAGAAGACTGAAACAGGTACAGACATACTGAATGGTAACTACCATCTTTCTAACCAATTCCGTGCCCTTTATTGTCATTCTGATCAGTTCTAGCTAGTTTTCTGTTTGTGGGCTGTTACCCGATTGTGTCTGTGTACATCTGTAGTATGTACATGTGAAAGTGCCTTTAAACTTTTAGAGGAACTTTAGTCTTGCTCTGCACTGTTGCATTTCCATCTTCACTTGACTCACTAGGTTTAAAACAAATGCAGTTCTTGACTATGTACTGTTAATCATTTGTGACGATGCACTTTTTGTGTATAGTACTGTACATCTGGCATGTAGCATTACCAATTTCAGTATATCTTCAGGTTTGTTCTAGATGTATCTTTCTAATAAAGGAAATTGGTCCAGCTTATGTTGACTTTCTTTATTCAACTGATTCTTGAGTTTCTACACTTGTCTTTCCTTAGAAACATGGAAAATCATGATCCAGTACTCATGTCAGAAACTAGCATTTGGTGTTGTCCACAGATAGTTGCTATTTTTACTTTTGAAACAGTTACTCAATATTTGAATTCAAGTAAATTCTACAGTGAATCCAAACCACTAGTATCTAAACCACTAGTATCTTGACGTATCCCTGAGGGAGTCCTTCAATCCACATAACTGCAGCACATTTTAGATTCCTTTTACACAAATGTGAGCACACATGCACAATGAGGAAGTATCTTGTACATTTATTGTTCATAGATGCAGCCTGCTTATCTTCATTCCTCACTCTTGAAATCAAAAGTGTTTGATTGTATGGATCTGAAATCAAATAATGTGAGTCAATCCTTTATGTGAAAGTTGTTCTATAAATGCAAGCCCATCTGTAGTAGTCCATCTTAGCTACATTTAGCGTTTAGCTGTCTTTGGTGGTTCTCTGTAAGACTATCTACCAGTGATGAGAATAATCAAACTATAATAATCTTCGCATTTGATGTAGTGCCTTTCAAGTCTCTAGGACATCTCAAAGAGCTCACTGCATTCAAAATGAAGTGTAATAAAAGTAAGATGTATCATTAATATAAAGGAACTTTAATTATGACTGGAAAATGAAAATTGCTCAAGTGAAGGTGAGTGTTTTAATATAATCAGTGAATTGTTTTGTAACAGCAGATTAAAGCTTTATTTATTCAACCAACACATTTGTTTGGAGGTTGAACAGCCAATGTTACTGTTCAATGACCTTTGTAGCTCCATTGCACATAGTTTCCTCTGTTGTGTTGCCTTCAATGCAGTTTAAGATCCTTAACTGAATCCATTACTGTTCCAAGATTGCACAGGCATCCAATAGAATATGCTCTATGATTCCTGGCTTCTTTAGTTTTAAGATTATTATGGTGTTGGAAGATTTGGCTAATGTGTCTTTTCCCTTCATTTTGGTTTGATGCTTCTTGAGATACCTTTACTCATCTTTGGATATGGGTGTTGCTGTTAAGGCCACCATATTGGCCACCTCTGATTGTCCTGAGAAGGTGGTGGCCTTTTCTCAACTGACTGGCTTGCTAGGGCATTTCAAAGAATTTAAGAGTCAACCATGCAGTGTAGGATCGGAATCCTGTGTAGGCTGGATCTGGTAAGGACGGCAGATTTCCTTCCCTGAAGAATATTTATTGTACAACAATTAGGCTTAGGGTTACGGGGTTTTCTGGTGCCAACTCAAATCACCAAATATTTTTCTATTAAAATTACGCAATTACTTGGGCTGCTAGTGCAGATTACAACTGCACTATCATTCCCCAGGTAACTCCACTTTACTTATCCTGGGAGACCTCTTAATAGCCCGAAATTGGAAAGTATCCCATTCGTCAGAACTGAAAACCCTTGAATGAACCCAAAAGTTACCACAAAAGAAAACTCAGGGTCTTTTCCATTCTGCCTTTTAACACTTTCATGAATCTTTTATGTACTGTATTTTACTTTGTTCATACCCTGTCATATTAAATTGCAAGATATGCTTTAATAACCTGCCTTTGGATACGTCCAAGTCAACCTGTTAGCTTCAGTATCCGCAACCTTCTGTGAGTAAGAACATCCATCTGACAAAGCCACAAAATACATAAAAGGCTATCTGTCCTTTTAAGAAATTATTAGTCCCTCAAGTATGTGACTTATGTGTGGAGTCCTGTAGCTCAGTGGTTAGAGCACTCGCTTCGCAAGTGAGAGACCTGAGTTCAATTCCATGCAGGGAGAAACCTTGGGCAAGTTTCCTTACTCCACACGCCTAATAATATGCCCTCCAAAAACCCAAAACAATAATAAATTGGTTATTTTCAATCTACGACTGTTTGTGGGGCATTGCTGTGCGCAATTGGCTGCCGCGTTCGTCCACAAATATACAGTCAATTCACTTTACAGTGTGTTCTGTGAAGCGCTTTGGGACATCCTCCCGACGTGAAAAGCTCTATATCAAATGCAAGGATTATTATTATTATTATTTCCTCTTCATTATTATGTTGCTCTGCACCACCAGCCTATATTGCTGTTTATCGTACCTTTAGGTACTGCATTAGCTATGCATATGTGTGTAATATGAATATATATCAACATTTTAGTTCTGATTTTTGCAAAGTCTGGACTTCATAAAATTTTCTATAAGCAATAAGCATAAGATCTGGTGCCTCCCTTTGAGTCATAATGATAACATGCAAACTCTGCATTGATTCTAAGGAGGAAATTGGCCTCCTTTGGCTCAAATTACTTCACGAATATATGCATGAGAGAATAGCCAATCTTGTGGGAAATCACAACAATTAATCCACATTGTATCACTGCATAATACTATACAGTACTACAAAATCTATTTGGTAATTTCATCTTCTTTTGTCTCTGTGGGATTGCAGCATGCAGGCACTTGATCCCTGGTCTACAAAGGCCACTACAGTGATTTGTGAATTGGTCACTGCAGTGAGTAGAACATGTTGTGTGGGTTGTTGTCAATAAACTTCTGATTTCCCACCCTCGTCCTTTATAATAATAATAATAATCCTTGCATTTGATATAGCACTTTTCACGTCTTCTAGACATCTCAAAGCGCTTCACAGAATATGTTGTAAAGTGAATTGACTGTATATTTGTGGGCAAAACGCGGCAGCCAATTGTGCACAGCAGCGTCCCACAAACAGTCATGGATTGAAAATGACCAATTTCTTATTGTTTTGTTTTTTGGAGGGATTAGTTTTTAGGTGTGAGGAGTAAGGAAATTTGCTCAAGTGTCTACTTGTCTAACATAATAATAATTTGGTCACTCAATCCACGATTGCTTGCAGGTCACTGCTGTGCACAATTGGCTGCCATGTTTTGCCCACACAATATACAGTCTTTACTGTAGAAATATTCACTTTAAGTATATTCAGTGAAACAGTTTGAGACACCTCAACAACATGCTATGGTGGTATATCAAATGCAAAGAATATTATTATAATGTCTAGCCCCTACTCTGCCTCTACAGTCTATATTTGAGATCAGTATTTTCCCCTATGGAAAACATAATGGTTATTCATAAAAGATACAAGAGATTGGACATCCGCTTAATTTCACCAAAAATGTAACTTCCTCCATTGATTACTGAAAATTGAAGAAGTAAAGCTTTCCAGCTGGTCTTCTCTCATTTTACAGAGTGCGGCATGATTTTATATCCTATATGGATTAATTCAGACTTTTTCAGCTCACACATTCAAGCTCTGGAACTCTGCCAAATCCGGTCCTCCAATCATTACTTTCAAATACTTGTAGACAGCAGGAAAAGAGGTCACGGTTTCAGGATTTTGAAGATCCAAGTTTACAGATACTGTAATGGATGGATATTCTAAAAAGATGAGATCAAATGGGCATTGGCTGTCATTCATCCAAACTGTTCTTGTGATGGCATTGGCATTAACAGTTCAAGTGAAAATATTTTCAGGAATAGACTTAATAACAAAGGTAATGGTCTCCTGTACTGCAGCAGGACAATTGAGGATATTTGTCCATCAGTTCAGTTTTCCAATAGAATATGGAATAGTGACATAAAGGGAATCAGGCCATGTTGCTTTGTAAAGCTCAGTCATGAGATTGGATTTGGACCACAAACTGTATGAAAATATGACTGTGCACAATTGACTACTGCATTTTGCCCACAAATATACAGTCAATTCACTTTATAGTATATTCTGTGAAGCGCTTTGAGACGCGAAAAGCGCTATATCAAATGCAAGGATTATTATTAATATTATATATTATTATATACTTACCTGTGGCATTAAAGTTCCTTTTAAATGTAATTTAAAAGTTTGGTTTTAAAGATATCTGCATTTGAAGCATTATCTTATCGCCCTAATAGCACTACGTCCACGTTGTTGCCCACAAAACATGCAGTCAATTCACTCCACAGCATCTTGAAGACCCGATAAGGCGCTATATCAAATGTAAAGATTATTATTATTGTCTTATTTTGCAGCCTGAAAGCTGAGGCAGCAGACCTTGTATAGTTGTTAATGCTCATGATGACAGACAACCCCTGCCTATGGATTTCCACTGAATGAAGATGTGTTTTATTTATACCCTGATCCTGTGGACAGTAAAAATCCATTAATTTAATCCAATGATACTAATGTAATTTTTTAGGCAATCACATGGGATTAACCGAGGTGTACCTACTCATACAATCAGGATTAATAAAAGGTTATTTAACGGTCGTCTCTGAGGCATTAGCTATGCCTTTCCATAGTTCCTGATGTTTTCCATGGAACTCGAACTATCGTTGACAGCACAGCACAGTTTCCTTGTACTTTGTTTTCTTTTACTTTAAGGCAAGCAACCACATTTTAGTAAAAGCAGCGGTAGTTCCCAGTAAGCAGAGGACAACTGAAAAAACAACAAAAAGCACTGTCAGGAAAAACCTTTTGCCAAATCCAAAATGTTTGCCTTTGTAATATGAGTTACTTATCTATGTCAAGCAAGATTTTTGTTTCATACACTAACACAGAAAATTTAATCTTTAGCGGGCAAGTACTTAAAATATGACCTTCGTTTGCTGTCTAAAATTCCCATAAATAACTTCACAAACAAATTCTATTTAAAAGGAACTTTAAAGCCACAGGTAAGTACATTATATCATTGATGGGTACCAACTTTAAGATAGTGAAGAGCAAATGGGGAGGTTAAGAGATTTTTTTTTCCACACAGAGAGTAGTTAGGATATGGAATGCTCTGCTGGGAGCTGTGGTTGAGGTAGAATCCACATTGGCTTTCAAAGGGAAATCAGAAAAATATCTTAGATGGAGTGAGCTGCAAGAATATGAAAAAAAGGCAGGAAAATGGGATTGGTAGGATCGCTCTTAAAGGAGCTGGCACAAACATGATGGGCCAAATGGCTTTCTTCTGTGGTGT